GGCGCCGCCGTCTGTTACCTGAACTGCGGGGAAAGCGCGTGTGCGCCTCACGCGGGTCTGGTGAACCTGCACCCCATGGCGTCGTATCTCCTCAACGCGCCGCTGCACGCGCGCCAGAAGAGCCTGTTTTCCTCGGAGAAGTGCAAACCGGGCGCCGCTGCGGACAGGTGTCCCCCTCCCGGCGTGTCTTTTAAGGAGCTTTCTCACTCTCACCTGCACCATTACATGAAGGAGAGCGCGCACATCTTGTCGGAGAAGCTGTTCAAGAACTCCGCGGCCAAATTAAACAGCGGCTCTCCTCAAACCAAACCAAAGGTGTTCACCTGTGAAGTTTGTGGCAAGGTGAGACGAGCGACATCGATCTTCTGTTTAAGCACAGATTGCATCCTCTTTTTTTAACACAATTTGCAATTTGCAGGTGTTCAACGCGCACTATAATTTAACGCGTCACATGCCGGTTCACACGGGCGCCAGACCGTTCGTCTGCAAAGTGTGCGGCAAAGGATTCAGACAAGCGAGCACTCTGTGCCGCCATAAAATCATCCACACTCAGGTAATCATGCGCATGATTTTACAAATTACTATTTAAATCATATTAGTGCTGCCGGTGTATCTCAAAACAATGTATTAACCTACACTGAAAAGCTGTGGAAACAATTTTCATTTGCTGGTAAATTTCACAATTATCCTACAAAGAAGCATTGAATTAAGTGTGAAATTTCGAAGTAGAAAAAAACTGAAATGGCATTTTCTTGAAAAACATAGCCTACTCCAGTAGCTGTTTTATTTACATCTTTGAAAAATCAGTGTACTACTAATTTGCAATTTCTGTTATATTTTATGGGTAAATAGTCCTATATATGTAATCAATTGTGTTTTTTTTTAAATAAAAAGAACATTATAATTCAGAATTTGTAAATCTGTATTATGCAATTTTCAAGTTAGAATAAAATCATGGAATAAAAGGGGGCATTTTATATTTTCTCTCTCTCTCTCTATTAGAAGATTTATTTCTTAAGACGTTTTTGGATTTTTTTTTTTATGAGATAATGGTTTAAATTAAAAAATAATCTGTAGGCTAAATGTCAAAATAATGATATAATAACGGAAAAATCAGCAACCTCTATTAATAATAATAATTATTATTATTAAGAATAATAATACATATAATTATCAACAACAATAAAAAAAATAATAATAATGAAATATAATTTCGGACTCATTTCCGTTAATCAGTGTATTGTAGTTGTAATGAACCAGTTTATCACAATATCATAGAAATATCTCGTAAAAGTAAAATAGCCTATTTTTCAGCCGTTAGCTTTATTGTGTGCCGTAACGTTTCTTCTCCATTTGTTTGCAGGAAAAACCGCATAAATGCAACCAATGTGGCAAAGCTTTCAACCGAAGTTCAACTCTCAACACTCACACACGAATTCACGCGGGATGCAAACCCTTCATTTGTGAATTCTGCGGCAAAGGATTTCATCAGAAAGGTAGAAGTTCTAAAGGGCCATTTACAAACCCTGCAATTTAGAGACACAGAGCGATAGATAGGCCTAGATAGAGAAAATCATATTGTTTTGTGGCATGTTTTTTGGGATTGGATTCTCACATTTAGTATTTTGTTTTCAAGGAAACTACAAGAACCACAAACTGACCCACAGCGGAGAAAAACAGTTCAAGTGCAATATCTGCAACAAAGCCTTCCACCAGGTGTACAACCTCACCTTTCACATGCACACGCACAACGACAAGAAGCCTTTCACCTGTCCGACATGCGGCAAGGGTTTCTGCAGGAACTTTGATCTTAAGAAACACATTAGGAAACTGCACGACATTTCCCCAGGACCCCGCTCACCATCGACCCCCACTGCGAACCTGGTGTGAAACTCCTCTGCGTCCCGGGGGAAATGCTCCGAGAAAAAAGAATCGAATCGCGCATGCAACGTTTTATTTATTTTTCATGTATTTTGATTATTATTTGTATCATTTTGAGCGACCGTCATCATTGTTGAAGCTCGTCTGTGAATGGTAGATTATTACATGATTCTTTTTACTCTCAGGGTAACAGTCTTATTTATTTGAAACTACTGTTGTCTTTAACTTAAAGAGAGTAATCGAAACCCGTATATGGAACATTAATTCTCGTGACCGCATTTTATATGTTTATTATTTATACAGTTCTTTGTATTAGCTATACTGTTTGCCAACTGTAAACGTTTTGTTAAATCAATGTGAATATATATGCAAGGTTTGTTGTACATTTCTAATGGCATCTGATCTGTCAAAAAGATTATAAAGCATATGATAAGGGGGGGAGGTGAAAATAAATAAAACATATCTTATGCTATATATATATATATTTCTCTCTGAATACGCATGTAAGACGCGTGTTATAAAGAAGACTCTTGGAAATAATAGATCATTTCTGAAAGATCGATAAATATGCAAAGGGAGAGTTTCAGCGTCCTTTCTTGTCAAGCAATATCCAGTAAGGTCTACGCAATGACGGATATCCCATATTTCAGTTTAACTAAATAAAAAATGCCATAATCAGTAGTATCATAATTCTGGTACTCTTTACTGGCACTGACTGAATTGCAGCAATCTGTATCTGTAGAGACTGCGCACATTATGAAGAGAGAATGCCCCCTCTAGTGGACGAAACTAAAAAGGGAAATATTCTCAAAAATATATATACTGTAGTATACAACCGGTACATTTAAATTTACTGTATGGGAAAGATGCCATTGCAATAATAATGGTACTAAACAGGTGCTGAGACTATTCCGCCAAAACCATGCCGAAGCTCAGGGGCAGCTGGTCAGATTTAAAAAAGGTTGCTTGTACAATTATTTTATATTTCACGTATTAATGTTTAAAAAAGAGCTTGTATTAGTGAGGATTTATTGCAGTATAGATGACAATGATTTGGTTTAAATCTTTTAATAAATAGATCTCGAGGCAGGGGAATGGAGTGGGGCCATAAACTACTTCAGCACCACAAGACTGAACAGCTCCCAATATTATATGATCTAAATATTCTCTAATTGCTCAAATATCCCTATTATGTCTGATGTGAGCGACTTGCAAGACAGCACGGTACACTCTCAGGAAAAAAAAGGTACGAAAGTTGTCACTGGGGCGGTACCTTTTCAAAAAGCACACCTTTGTACCTAAAGAGTCCATATTGGTACATATTAGCTAAAGTACCTAAAGTGTATTTTAGTACCTAAAAAGTGTACCTTTTGAAAAGGTACCACCCCAGTGACAGCTTTTGTACCTTTTTTTCTGAGAGTGTATTGATACTCATCTTTGTATTCTTCTTATCCAATTTTCTGCAAAAATGAACACATTCAAATTCAATTCAAACTTTTTGTACATTTTTATAAAACTTCAGTTTCTATTATTATTATTATGGGTTTTTATACTGTAAGCCAACTTAAGGAAGGCTTAAGAAGAATGATTTTTAAAATGTCTTGCATTTATTTGCGTACTGAATTTTGATTCGTCTTTCTGTCCTAATCTATTTCTATTTCATACATCTACACTCGGTGCAGTGCTTAAGTATTTTTTGGGAGTATCTGTACTTTACTTGAGTTTTTATATTTCAGTCAACTTTTACTTTTACTCCACTACATTTCCTAATTAAAATGTATAGTTTAACTCCGATACATTGTAATTGTTACTTTCTACAAAATAGTCAGAAGTCAGGAGAACACGGACTGCAGGAAAGCAGGTTTGACGAATCAGTGGTCTGCCGTCTGCAGATCATTCATTTCCCCTCAAGTCGAGTGTGTGCTGTGCGATACAGCATCCTCTGAGATAATACGGTAAGTGTTGTAATGATGTGCGATCTGACATGATCAAGTAGGCTATATCACCAGATCACACACAGAGTGCACGCACGTTGATTTATTATTACAATTCTAAATTCCAGGCATTCTAAATTGTAGACGGCAAAAATGCTTCTGTGTGCTTTTTATATGTATATAATTTAATATAGTTAACTTAATCTATATCACACAAAGAGTACCGTTTTTCTGCAGATATCAGCATGAACACATTTAATAATCATTTTATACAAGTTCAGTAAAGCAATAAGTGACTTACATTTTAGACATAATATTGTTTGCTTTTGCTCAATTTTGCCAACGAAAATAGATCCAAACACGGTGACTTCAACTTCTACCAAAGTCATTTTCTGGTAAGATATCTGTACTTTTACTTGAGTATGGCTTTCAGGTACTTTATACACCACTGACTCGGTGTCCTGTTATATGTTGATTATTGTTCTCACGAGCGTTCAAAACGACTGTAAAAATTGGGTTTACACCGAACAAAGGACAAAAACTTTTAAGAATATAAGGGGGAAAACTGATTTGTTGGTCTTTGCTCCCTGGCCAAGCTGGTCTCTGATCAGCAAGATGATCTCCTAGCCTGGCCAGTTTAAAATGGCCAAACCCCCTGTAAAACCAGCAAGCCAGACCAGGCTGGTAGGCCAGTTAAACCAATGGTGTTTTTCAGCCAGGAGTATTGAGATGCGTCTTATTTGCTTCAGGAACTTCAAATCTAGTTAATATAGCGGGGAATCTTTTATGAAGTTGAAGAAAGAAAAAACAAACAAAACTGAAACCGCATATTTGAGCTCGTCTGTCCTTGCGACCGCAGTATTTATAGCAGGAGGAGCATGCCAGGCAAGCGAAAGAAAGAAAGGGGAGGGGTCTGTGTTTCCTCACGCTACGCTACTCGGTCATCAAGCTGCGACGCGACGTCAAGGGCACGCGAGGAGGCAGATCCGCGCTCTGAGTCGGGATTGGTGGGAGTTAATCCAGGGCTCAGATTACTTCACCGAAGCGGAGACGGATTGGGTTTACACCGAACAAAGGACAAAAACTTTTAAGAATATAAGGGGGAAAACTGATTTGTTGGTCTTTGCTACCTGGCCAAGCTGGTCTCTGATCAGCAAGATGATCTCCTAGCCTGGCCAGTTTAAAATGGCCAAACCCCCTGTAAAACCAGCAAACCAGACCAGGCTGGTAGGCCAGTTAAAACAATGGTGTTTTTCAGCCAGGAGTATTGAGACGCGTCTTATTTGCTTCAGGAACTTCAAATCTAGTTAATATAGCGGGGAATCTTTTATGAAGTTGAAGAACGAAAAAACAAATAAAACTGAAAACGCATATTTGAGCTCGTCTGTCCTTGCGACCGCAGTATTTATAGCAGGAGGAGCAGGCCAGGCAAGCGAAAGAAAGAAAGGGGAGGGGTCTGTGTTTTCCTCACGCTACGCTACTCGGTCATCAAGCTGCGACGCGACGTCAAGGGCACGCGAGGAGGCAGATCCGCGCTCTGAGTCGGGATTGGTGGGAGTTAATCCAGGGCTCAGATTACTTCACCGAAACGGAGACGCAGGAGGACATCTCAGAGGCGTCTCTCATCATCGGTGTGAAAAGGCCCCCGGAGGAAAAGGTGTACCCCCACAAGACCTATGCCTTCTTCTCTCACACGATTAAAGCACAAGAGGCAAACATGGGGCTCCTAGATGACCTTCTTAAAAAGGTGAAAGTCTCTTTATAGAACGAAAACGATCAAGGAGAATGTTTAAACAGAAATCTTTTATCAAATAAACGCATTGATAGTGTTGCTTATTTAATAAACTAAATCATGAAATTAAATAATGGATAAATAAATTAAAATGGTAAATTAAAATGTAATCAGTAATCAAAGAAAGTTGTAACTCCAAGTTGTCTCCCTTCTGCTTTAATCAATTTCTATTTTTGTTCCCCCACATTTGGTGCTCTTAATGTGTCCTTTTCCCTCTTGCTATTTCTGGTATTTGCATGAATGAAAATCTTATCCGATTGAGTAGAATCAAGACTGTTTTTGTTTTCAGTACTATGAAAAAGCAGGGGCTGTTATCCAGGAGGACATCTCAGAGGCGTCTCTCATCATCGGTGTGAAAAGGCCCCCGGAGGAAAAGGTGTACCCCCACAAGACCTATGCCTTCTTCTCTCACACGATTAAAGCACAAGAGGCAAACATGGGGCTCCTAGATGACCTTCTTAAAAAGGTGAAAGTCTCTTTATAGAACGAAAACGATGAAGGAGAATGTTTAAACAGAAATCCGACTGCAATACTCTCTCTAGCGTCATATGTATTTGGAAATATTTATTCAGGACAAGCAGCTTTCACAAGATACTCATGTGTCATCATCTCCCTCCCTTTTTAGAAAATTCGACTCATTGATTATGAAAAAATGGTGGATGCCAATGGCTACAGAATTGTAGCGTTTGGGCAGTGGGCTGGTGTTGCTGGTATGGGACCTTTTCGATGGTGTCACACAATGTACAATATCATCTGAGTTAAAAGGATAGTTCATCCAAAATGTAAAATTCTGAGATCATTTACTCACCCTCATGTAGTTCCAAACTTGTATGAAAACAAAATGAAACTTACAAAAACATTTAAAGGGGTGATTCACTGGTTTTTTTCTAGGCTTGATTGTGTTTATGGGGTGCAGCCTAACATGTGTTAAAGATAATTAACATATGATGCAATCTAAATTTTTCCTTTCTCTTTGGAGTGTTACAAGCTCTTGGTGCATAAAGAAGATCTGTAAAGTTGCAAAGACTAAAGTCTCAAATCCAAAGAGATATTCTTTATAAAAGTTAAGAGTCAACCACGCCTACCTAAAACGCCTCGTTCTAACACGCCCCCACATGTCTACATCACGATGTGGGAAGATTTGCATAGCGCCGCCCAAATGTTCACGCAAAGAAAGAAGGCGTAACTTTTATTCTTGCTGTAGTATTGTTGTTGCCGCCACCGCCATGTCGTGAAGGCACTGTGTGTTTCGTTGTGAAAGCGAAACTACTTTGTTTGGCCTTCCAAAAGAGGACGATATCCGTTTCGTCATGCTTGGAGCTTATCCGTGCTGGTCGCTGAGGAAATACATCAATTTCTCGCTGTGGATCGCCGGATCGGCTTTCACCGTGGACGAAGCATGAAAAGAATTTTAAAAGGTACAGATTACTTTAATATTTATAGCAAAATAGATTAATATTCAGATGTGGAAGCGGCAGGATGTTTCTGTCTCCTATTCTCGGCTACGTGCGCTGGAGAGAAAGGGGGCGACTACACCAGACCTCCACAATGATATATTTCATACCCTCAAGAAATACCTGTGAATGCGAATTAAAAAGTCCTCCTTCCTTTATTAAAGCAATTAATTCAAGCACAATGGTGTCTGGTCGTCAGACAGTGTAATCTTAAGTAAAGATATGCTCTTGTTGGCATGTCCATCGGCCATTACTAGTTCTTTTTTCTTTGTAATAATTTGAAATACTTTCATATAATTTTCATAATTTATGGAATTCGTTATTGTAATTTCCTCTCGTTCTCATCATTTAACTGGCATATTAGCCATAAAAACATTGGTATAATGTTCACAATCATCTATTTTGTCATTGTAACAAAATGGTGCTATAAAAGACGTTTTTGACTGTCACTGCTCATTACTAAAGTTCCTTCTTGCAGTTTTAGACATAATAATGATGCTAAAATATTAACAGACATCTATTTTGCCATCAAAAAATAGTGTAACTTTCTGCCCGCCACATTTATCACACAATAACAAACTGATATACACTTAAGGATATTAAGTAGCAACAAATGATCAAGTTTTAGTCTTCAAACGATGTAATTTTGGGTGAGAATATGCCATCATGCCTTGCTCTTGTTGGTATATTCACCTGCGATTGCAGAAGTTTTTGTGATTTTAATTTAGGGCCTTTCGCACCGCTTTAGTTCCAGAACTAAATGTACAGTACTAAAGTCCCGGGACGATTTTGCATGAACTATTTCCCAGTACCATTTAAAGGGTTTCTATCGCACCGACAGTGTGTACTAGGAAGTGACGTAAGCCAGTCGACAGCGACGTCATTTGTGAGTGGTGTTCAACAACGGAAACAAAGAAGGGCCCTGTGCCAAATGGCACCCTAAACCCTCGTGGGTCTCCTCTTGAGTCCTCACTTTCGTGACATAATGCCGCTTTGACTGTCGGGTAGAAGTCTGCTGCGGAGCTCGTACCAGTGCGGGCTTGGCAGTAGTGCGGATCGAGGGCGCATAATGGCCGCAAAGGGGGCACTCGCGAGCACCCATCTGAATGCTAAAATGACAAATGGGACACCCTTATAGACTTAACGGACACGCGTACGTGACGGCCATTGTAAGCCCGTAAGACATGAAGTGCACATGAAGTGTTCCATTTGGAACAGGGCCACAGTATGGTAAGGGGCGTAACATTTCCATCACACGCTTGAGGTATTCGGCCAATCACAACGCACTGGATAGCTGGCCAATCAGAGCACACCTCGCTTTTCAGACCGATGAGCTTTGTAAAAATCGACGCGTTTCAGAAAGGCGGGGCATAGAGGAGAAACAATAATGTACATTATGTGGAAAATAATGTGTTTTTTAAACCTTAAACCGCATGAACACATTTCATTACACCAAATTATGTTCTTTTTTAGCAACGTCACATGACCCCTTTAATACAGTACGGCAACCGCACGCGCTCTCATAGCTATAACGCTTCTCATAGCTATGTGAAAATAAGTGTATAAATGGAACAATTCATTGTTGGAGCTGAGCTGGTGATCTGAATCAGAGATTGAGAGAGAGAGAGAGAGATGCAGCAGAGCAGGGGGACACGAGGAACAGGATTGAGAACCGCTGCTTTAGAACATTGATTTTGAATCTTGTGAATGCATTAAAATAGTTAGAAGACAGAATCACGATTCATATATGAATAGATTTTTACGTGCACCCCTAGTTTTCTCTTCCTCTTTTCTAAAGCAGCGCAGCATGGCCTCGCCCCCTTTGTTGCATGTTCCTGGGGGCGGGGTTTGTCTGGGTTTGTGATGTCACAAACCCGGGAAGTAACTTGTTGTAGTCCCTACCAGCCGTTTTTATAGGCATTAAACTGCCAGAATTTTAAAAGACGATATCTGCGTTTGCATTGAACTTTCAGCGCCGCAACTTTGAAGATATTGTTTATGCTCAAACAGCAACATTACACACTAACTAACATTAAAAAAGTGTAATCACAATGAACCACCCCTTTAAAACATTAAAAAAATCTTAGCAACTCCAAACTTTTGAATGGTAGTGCATGTCTTTAAATTGTTCCCCTGCTCTAAGTTTAACATGTTGTCTGTATTTTTTACAGGAATGATTAACATTTTACACGGCCTGGGTCTGCGTTTTCTTGCCCTTGGACACCACACCCCATTTATGGTATTCGTTTTTAAATTGCACTAATTTTGAATTGCCACTTACAATATTATATGTGGTTCTCAGTTATTAGTTCTTTATTATTTATTGCATTTTCCAGATTTTAAAATATTTACGTATCTGTTTTTATATTTGTCACTTGACAGCACATTGGTATGGCGCACAACTACAGAAACGTCAGCCAGGCCGTCCAAGCGGTGAGGGATTGTGGGTATGAAATATCCTTAGGTCTGATGCCCAAGTCCATTGGTCCTCTCACATTTGTGTTCACTGGCACCGGCAATGTGTCCAAGGTAAGTGTGCACTTATTGTTGTGTAAATTGGTTTATGAGATGCTGTAAGTGCCTCAAACATGTCAGTGTAGCGCATGTTTACATTGAAAAACAGAGAAGTAGGAGAAGGAATGCTTGGTGTTATAAAAATGAAAATGCTTCTTCTCCAGGGCGCCCAAGACATTTTCAACGAGCTCCCCTGTGAGTATGTGGAGCCTCATGAATTGAAAGAAGTGTCAGAGAGTGGAGGTATTTCTTGTATTCCCTGATTTTTATGGATACACATAAGGTGTTTGCAGTAATTGCATTTTGTTGTGCATGCAAATTGACTAATCTGCTTTGCAGACATGACCAAAGTGTACGGCACGGTGATCAGCAGACACCACCACCTGATAAGAAAAAGCGACAGACTCTATGACCCCCTGGAGTACGAAATCCATCCTGAGCTTTACACATCTCACTTCAGGGAGACCGTAAGTAAATATACCAGGCAGCTGATTGGTTCGCCCTCTGTCTACGACTTAAAGGAATAGTTCACCCAAGAATTTACATTTGTTGAAAATGTAACCACCCTTAGGCCAGCCGGGATGCAGATGCAGACTCAGAAATGTGTGGAAAAACTTGAATCAGAGCTAAATGGGCGGCATTTCAACTGGAGCCCATCCACACATCCATTGATTTTCAGTATGGAACTAAAGCTGAGAAATCTGAAATACACATTTCTGTTTACTTTGAGGTGAGGGGCCACATCTTAGATCAGTAGAGATGTAAAGTTCATTGCAGCACCGAATGGAATTGCGAAAATAATTCATCTTTCCACACATACACTGCTGTTCAAATGTTTAGGGTCTGTAAGATTTTTGTAGTGTTTGAGAGAAGTCTCTTTTGCTCGCCAATGCTGCATTTATTTTAGCAAAAACACAATCAAAAACAGAAATATTCACTTCTGAATGGTACATAACCTTGCATCATATTCATGTGGCCATATTTCAGGAGCCAGGTGCTTCAGAATATACCATGGTGCATATCTAAATGCAATACCACTTTTTTGTTAGCATCTTAAATCTATTTAGTGCATATTGCAGTAGCAATATTTGTATTACATGCATTGTTTTTCTCAATCTAGGCTGTAATTACATCCAATGGGAAGTTGACACCAAAGTTTGAATACATCCAGAAACTTCGAGAAAGGAGGTAGGGGATGCTATTTATTTCTGTGAAGTCCGTTCAGTCCAAAGCTCTTTAAGGGTTTGAGTCTGTTTTGTCTGATTGGACAGCTGTCCGTAATGTTCTTTTAACGTTGCATTGGATGATATGCTTACATGCTGAGGATGGTGTGCTCATTCTGAAGATTTCTTCAAAGGTTGAAGGACAGGTAAAAAACTGCCTTATCCCAGCTCTCAACAGTCTGTAGCCTTGATATGCTCTCTTATTACTCTAGATGAAACTGCTTTGTTATGCCTGAATGTAGACTCTGCTTATATGCAAAAGATAAGAACGCAGGGCTGATATGTCAGAAACTACACACAGAAGACATATTAGTGTGGTGGTGGAAAGAACACTATTGTAATTACAAACAGAATTACATTTGCACACATCTTAGGATATAAAAAAACAGCAAGTTTCCGCACACCATTATGGTTTAGAAAAACACTTAACACAAAGCATGTCACAATGATTTTGATGCTTTTGAATAATAATTAGGGTTGGGTATCGTTTGGGTTTTTTACGATAACGGTGCCAAATCGATACTTTTACAACGGTACCGGTGCCTAAACGGTGCTTGAACCGATACTTTTTTTAAAAATAGGATGGATTGGCCATTATTGAGCGCTATAAACACATTTAATGTCGGTTTCATTTGCGCAGAAACTCCACATGTGCATCACAGAAGGAATATGACTCAGGAAATCCCTATACTCTTTGCTAATATGGACAAAGGCATTGCTATCGCTGTAACTGCGTAAACGGAAGATATAAACGTTTTGAATGATAAAACAAAGACAATAAACACTCGACTGCGACAATGTATAGTTTATCTGTGCCATCTTTAGTATTTTCATCATAATTAAGGACATTTATAATCCATTGCTAATCGAGATAGGCTTTTTACAGTATAGAACATATTTTCCGCCTCATTCTGTGACACGAAGCCACATCAGATTACAAAAGGAAGCAGTTGTGGAGTAAAAACGTTATAGTGTTCTCTTTTGTTGGACAACAGGTTTAGAAACGCTTCTCATTGTAAGTCATTACAAGGGAAGCTTAGCTTTAGTAGGGTGACCATATTTTAGTTTTTCAAAAAGAGGACAGTAGGAGGCGGGTATGGAACGATATTCCGGACAATGGTTGTGTGGAGAGGTGTTCAGGGCGGGTGCGGGGTGTCTTTTCAAACCTGCAGTAGAACTCGTTCAGATCGTCTGCCAGGTGTTGATTCTCCGCAGTGCTGGGGGATGGTGTCTTGTAATTGGTGATTTCTTTTAGACTTTTCCACACTGATGCCGAGTCTCTGGAAGAGAATTTAATCCTTATAAGGAATAAGGAGAGATGACTGACAAGAACATGCTGGAGTATCTTGTAAGATGTGCTCCCTTTACACAGATTGCGAAATCGAAAGTGAAAGTAAACAGTGCAAACGCTTATTCAAAAATATTTAAATGCACCGCATCCTGAGAGCGGCTCCCTGATGCGCCAAAATTATACACAATATTAGAATGTTTAAAGGAGTGGACACGAAAATCGCAGGAGCGAAACACATGTTGCGGGAGCAGGCGGCAATGGTCAGAGATTCAGTGGGGATTCAGCAGATTTTTGTAGGTCCAAAAAGAGGACATGTCCGGGGAAAAGAGGATGTATGGTCACCCTAGCTTTAGGCATTTTAATTTAAGAATGTTTAGCTTAGCTAGCTAAAGGTATCTACCTGCTGCCATCAGAGCAAGTGTAATTACTGCATTCACGTACTCCTCGGATGCTCTCATTTCCCGAGTTGTGCTTTTAAGTCGGAATGTGAAAACAACGTGGACACTCAAGTTACTACAAAAATGTGTTGGATATGTATTATTAGAGCTTTCCGACTTGCGTTCGTGAATTTTCTCAGTCGAGAAATTATTTTTCACTTGCGGTGCCGGTGATCCCGACATCCGCTTCGGAGAACAAATATTTCAATTGATCTCTCAAGCATTTAAGTGGCACCGAAATCTGTGTTCTGATTCGGTTCTAGTACTTACCGGTTACATATGGCACCGGGTTTCGGTACCCAACCCTAATAATAATGTAAGTGTTTCTGTAATATTTTAGACTAATTTGTAAACTCCCAATGAAACCGGTATGAAACAAAGCCTGTTTAGCTCAGTTTTGTGAGGCTAATGAATTTCCCAGAGTTTGAAACATTAAACCTTAGTAAGTTCATACACTGCAAAATTAAAGAGAAAAAAAGACGTTGGCGGTGTTTGTTTTGTTTAAACACAGGTTTCCTGTGCCCAGGGTGTCCCCGGGTCCTTAAAAATTCTTAAAATGTCTTAAATAACATTTTCCTAATATAAGGCCTTAAAACAGTGATGGGCAAACTTGGCCCTTCCAGGCCACTTTTCTGCAGAGATTTGATCCAACCCTGATACGACTCACCTGCCTGTAGCCTTCTAGTAGTCTTGAAGACAATGATTAGCTGGTTCAGGTGTGTTTGATTAGGGTTGGAGCTAACCTCTGAAGGAAAGTGGTGTGGAAGGGCCAAGTTTGCCCACCCCTGCCTTAAAAAGTCTTAAAATTTCTTAAATTCGGATTCGATGGGTCTTAAATATTTTTGGTCACATTACCACTAAAATATCTTCAGTCTGACGGACCTAATGACTTTACAATCATTGGACAGACCGAAGATTTTTTCTTCCCCGTGGTAAGTTACTGCGTCATCAGAGAGAATTGCAGTAAGTTAGCAGAATACAGAATACAAGCTCGCGCTGAGGCTCATTCTGTTTGTCTCGAGACTTCAGAACAAATGAGCTTGACAGCACACATAAACTCACAAGAAACACACTGAGGTAAAAATTCAAAATGTTCAGTTTATTCATAACATGATATAGTTAAGTAACACCATGACAAGTGAGCTATTTTGCTCAATATTCTCACAATGCAAAAAAAAACATTCAAAACACCTACAGAGCGCACGCATTACGTGAAGTCTAGTGCGCTCTTTCACTGCATGATTCAGTCTATTAAAATACATTCAGAATGATCACAAATTCAAGACATGGGGGCAGAAAATGTGTATATTTATACCACTTCTTATAGTTAATCAATTTCACACGGAAGAGTGCCTTTTTTTTCTCCAAACAATTACCATATACAAATGTAATATTTATTTTTTACAACAGTTCAATAAACTAGAATAATTCAACTGTTTAAATGATTCGTTCAGTCGCAATGACTCACTTATTTACAGTGACTTGCTGCCACCTACTGGCGGTTTTAATTTCACATTTAAAGTATCTTTTCATTTAAATCATTTCAAATATCAGTGTTTTATGTTTAATATATCAAAACATTATTTATGCATTTGTAACGGCAGGTTAAATGCATTCATGTTCTGCATTAAACCGTGTGTAAATACTTCTAAATGCCACTTCAGGTGCAGCTTATGTCCGGATTGCAAAGATGAATTGTGTTGATACTGATTTAATTTGCTTGGTAACAGCCCAAGTGTCTTATTATTCTAATTGACTGATTAAATGTAAGAATTTGACTCAAAAGATAATGCACACTTATAGAAGGCTTTATAAAGGTAAAATGCCCATAAAAGGTAAAAATCTATTTAAACTTATTGGAAAAGATTAATTTCTATCTGACCACCACACAGAATATGAAGAATATAAAACACTTTAGGAGTCAGCTGTCCACGAAAGTCCTTAAGATACCAGCATGATAACACACTCAATCAGTTGAATGAATGACTCAATGACTCACTCATTAAGTGACTTACCACAACTTACTGGTAGTTTAGTTGAGAAGTATGTTGAAAAGTATGCATTTTTCCCCTCAACATTTCTTATTTATATATTCATAAATGCATAAAAAAAAATTAATCTCATAACAAATGTTATTGCAGTTGTAATTATTGTTATTTGCAGTGTAAATTATTTAATCTGACTGGTAGCAGCCCTATAGTGTATATTGAATTTATTGATAAATTGTAATTTGTTTAAAAATAGGCCTAAAGTTAAATAAAAATATGCAGATTTAAGTATGTAAAAGCTGATAGAACACTAATGAAAATATTGCTTCAGAATAAATAGTTTACTCCATCAAAAATCTCAGTGATGCAGTTATTTTGCAGGGATATTTTGTATGGAATATTGTCTGCTGACATGAAAAGTTCGCTGTATCATTTATTACAGCAATGATATTTTGTTTTCTTTTTCATTTATACACATTAAATATTACACATACTGTATGTATGTAATAAAATGTGTGTTTCCATTACAGGTTTAGGTCCTAAATTTCATATAAGGTGGTATTAAAAAGGTCTTAAAAAGTCTTAAATTTAACTTGTTCATGTCTGCAGAAACCCTGTGTGCCTCCTTCTGCACTGCCTTAAAACCTTGCTTGGCTAGAGTTCACGTCCGCTGAGTGCATTCTCTCATGGGTAGACAATCTTACTCTCTCACTGCAGCCACAGTCTCTCCCACTCGCTCTTTTTCTTGGGATTTTTTGCATTCCAGAAAAAGAAATCAGTACACCGTTTCTTAAGTTCAATTATTCTCCAAGGTAAGCTTCTTTTTCACGAGCCAATTCATGGCCATTAATTGATTTATATCATGTTTTTAAATTATTTTCAATAAATGGAATAACGCATTCCTTTCATTTTTTTTCCTCATTCAAGACCTAATCAAAGCTTCCTTTGCTTTCTGCAGTCAACACGTCTTTCTCAAAACACTCGCTCTTTTGTGTTGTCTCTGTCTCATTCATTGATGAGGAACCAGGTTGACAAAACATTACACTGAATTTGCAAGTCTGTTTCTGTCCCTTGTGGTCTATACTTAATGGAGCCGCCCACAAGCCAGCATTGACCTTCATTTAGTCAATGGAAAGCTTTAAAGACCCACCATTTGACTTGTTTTGATTTACTTGTTCTTGTCCTGAATGAAAACCTTCTAAGAGAGCCATTGTCTCTTATCTAAGGTCATCTGATTGTGAGATAGACAAAATATGGACAAAATTATTGTGTTATTAATTTGTTTTAAATTAATTATTTTTAAAAATTAAATTCATAGTTAAAAACAATTATATTCGGTATCATAAAATTCTTATAATACATTTTGTTTATTAAATGTTATTACATTTTAGCGTTGTAGAAAATTATTTATTCTTAATTTTCATTTATTATTTTTTAAATGTTAAGTGAATTAAAAAAATAATTATTATTTTTTAAATGTTATTACATTTTAAAACTAAAATGTAATTTTTCTACCACTAAATATATAAATTAAATATTTTATAGTAATATTAAAAAGTAATTATAGAATTAAAAAAAAAGATAAATAAATTATAACTGCATTTTTATAACCATATTATAAATATAAAATAACAAATTATTCAAATTATTTAAAATATTAATATTAGAATTATTTCATTTCTTGTTTTTTGCCATTGCGTCACTAGTCAATGCTATTTTTTTTAAGCATCTTACACCACTGGCTTTGTGATTTTAAGATGCCATGTCAAGTGTAAAAACACGTCTCGAGACCCCAATGATCTGTTCTGTCTCAACATGGTTTTGGCAAGTCTATATATTTTAACTAATTAGTTCTCTAATCCTTCAAGCAACCCACAGATTTTGAACATACAGTATATAGTTTTGCATGTTCATGTAATAAATTGTCTTTTATCATTTTGCTGTTGCTGCCGATTTATAAAAGCCAAAAGCCACTGTAGCAATATATAAGCACCGCTCACACAGAAGTCACATTCAAACCAAGCAGCGAATCCATATGACCGACTTGTGAAAGACCATTGTGAAATCTGCATAGGGAAATCTTTCACCCTCATGTGATATTCCTGTTCGTGTGGATTAAAATGACTGGATTTTACCTGTATATATTTGCCAGACAACAATAAATGTGACTGCACTTTTACAGTGCTTTTTTAATTTTTAATGGTTTAGGGCTTTCATGCTCCTTAACACCCTTTAATTGTCGTAAAAATGACTGTAAGGCCAAGCCGAAAGTTCCTATTTGATATGAAAGTGTGCCATATTATGAACTAATGCACCTAATTATGAGAGCTTTTAGATATAGCAGTAAAACCCTGATCTAAAACACATTTACTGGTTATGAATGTCTAGTTTAATGGTATTTTGAGAAAGGCATGCAGGTGGTTGGGGGTTAAGTGTTAAGTGTTACATTTTTGCTCATGTGCCGCATCAGATCCAATTAGACTGAGCGACGGGGGTGCTTGGATCACGTGTCTCCCAGGGGACTTGCGGAGCGAAACGTTGATTCAGCAGCCCTCTTAAACGGCTTTGATTATATTCTGAATGGAGAACTGGCTGATCCAGAAGTAGATTTGTATGTTTTCCTTCAGTTTATTCGGCACCCTCTCTGCTCCTGAAGTGTCTTTGATCATTTCTGTGTGTTTTTGATGTTTTACTCTTGTTGTAAAAAATGAAAAATAAATTTTTGGTGTGTTTTAAATTCAATTGATCTTATCTCCTGGACAAGCCTACAAGATCTTCCTGTGTTCTTTTGCTGGTTTTGCATCCCTTTCAATCGGTTTAAGATCACTATCCAGCAGGATATGTTTTGTGATTTCACAGATTGCTTGGCCAGTGAGAGAGTGTGTGTGTGTGTGTGTGTGTGTGTGTGTTAGTAGTAATGGCTGTACCATCTGGCAAACAGGGAATCGGAGCAGATCTTAAAGAAAGGAGGAATGAAGCGGGTGCTTTTGCTGGGCTCAGGCTATGTGTCTGGGCCAGTTATCGAGTATCTCACCAGGGACGCTGGCACTCAGGTCACAGTGGGTATGTTCCCATCGCAAAATCCTTCTGGAATGCGGTTTTACTGCAGTGTAGAATTTACAGCCGTAGTTCTTTAAAAAAATCTTGTGTGATCTTTGCATTGCAGCATCAAATCTGTTGAATCAGGCTGAGGACATGGCAGCCAAGTATCCCAACACCATCGCTGTGATGCTGGACATCACCCGCCAGGAAGGCCACCTCGAGTCTCTGATCAAAGACCACGACATCGTCATCAGGCATAATCATAAACGTCATTCACTAAATGATCTACTTTAACGTACACTTTTAAAGCTAATTTTGTCTTTTCTTGTTGTTTTTGTTATCTAGCATGCTGCCGTATACGTTTCATCCACAAGTAGCTAAGCAATGCATTAAAATGAAGGTGAACATGGTGACCGCCAGTTACTTGAGCCCAGCCATGAAGGAGCTTCAGAAGAGGTAGGAAACTTCCTGTTTCTTAGAACACTATTTAATTTGAAAGTTTCATTTTAACTTCAACCAGAAATGAAAGTTCTGTCATCGTTTTCTTTCTCATGTTGAGGGAGAGGAAAATCCTGTTTTTATTTTGTTTGTTGTTGTTTTTTTGTTTTTTGCTTTGCTTTTGTTTTGGTTTGTTGTGTTTTTGTTTTGTTTTATTTTGCTTTGTTTTTGTTTTGCTTTTGGTTTTGTTTTGTTTTGGTGCATGTTGCACCAATTTAATTTAGTTGGTCTTTGGTCTTTGATCTTGATTTTGAGAACAGTATTTGTCAAATATTAATAAGCAGTGAAGCAGTTTTGTTCAAATACTATATCTAATATTATATATATTTTTAAGAAATAATAAAGATTATTATTATATTATAACTACTTAAAGATGAGGATTTTTCTTAATTATAAAAAAATAATTTTCAGGACAGTTGTAACATCTACACATTTTTGAATTTATGGTCCCCAAAAAAATATCAAAATGAATTGTAATGCATTAACAACATGCTCATCATAGAAGAGCATGTCCTAAATTGATAGGACAAAAAATTAGCATCATGTTATTGATGCAACCGTTGCAAATAAATTGAGATGGTGAGTTTTGTGAGTGAATCATTCAGACTTTTTTCAGTTTTGTCAACTTTATAAATTTTTTTGTGTTTTGGAGAACTGTCACTTAAGTTCAAAACAGTTACTGAAAGTATCTTTCTCTGACCTTGTCGGATTTTAAACTGCCACTGGTTGACATCATTAATATACTGTATGCATGTGGCTTCACCGTGATTGGCTGTTCTTTCCCAAGTGCCGAGGATGCTGGCATCACCATCGTCAATGAGATGGGTCTGGACCCTGGCATTGATCACATGTTGGCCATGGAGTGCATCGACCAGGCCAAGGCAGACGGTTGCACTGTAGGTATTGCATGCATGCACTTGTGTTTGTTTACCAGTTGGATGTGTTGATGGGTATTTGCGATAGAGTGACATACTGTTGCACCATTGGTGCACTCATCACCACGTCTGGAAGACATATTGACAGACCTCAACAAACGTTCACGGCATCTTGAATGTTCATTTTTGCTTGGTTAGTCAAGCAGAGCATTGTCTTCATGAACATTTGCTCAAATCACATAGTTCTTGTAGTTACTCCAAATTTCAACCAGTGTTTCTTGACAGGTGGAATCGTACAGCTCTTTTTGTGGTGGTCTTCCTGCCCCAGAATGCTCGGACAACCCACTGCGATACAAGTTCAGCTGGAGTCCGTACGGTGTCCTGCTCAACACCATCAGTCCAGCCATCTATCTGAAAGACAATCAGGTGATACAGGCTGACCTCAAAAATCAACTCCACAACTCTGAAGTGTCCAAAAATCAGCCACCCTAAAGCCTTATAACAATATAATAAAAACATCTAGAAAACTTCGGCAACTGCAAATCAACGTCATAGCAACCCCCAGCACACTTATAGACCTAATGTAGCTCCACCCCTTTTCAGCGCTGCACTCATTATCCATTTGTATTTCCACAGCGTGAAATTAAGTTTGTACGAATTTATGAATGAACCACTCATTTTAAAATTTTCCCAGTCTGCTGACATTTGTTATGACATCTGCTTAATGCCTGGTTCAGACTACACGATTTTGGCATGATCTGCTTGATGTAGGTTGTTGTGGGGATTCGTAAACGACAATGGGCATCGGGATACAAGATTCAGTTGTTTCATCTCCTGTAGTGTGTCATAGTGGACGACAACCAATGCTACATCTGCAGTGCTTAACGACATCACCGCAGAAAGACCGGCATGTTTTTTTTTTCCATCGTCCACGATGAGTTCCGTCACGTCTTTGACACTGGCCAATGGGAGCACAGAAGCACCTTTGTACATGCTTTCAAACAAGCTGAAACGAAAGAGAGACAATGGTATTGGTCCTGCTAGGTGGAATTTTACAATGGAGGAAATGTTCGCGAAGCTATGGCAATAATACTCCTGCATTTATGATGTTTCCTCTAGGGACTACCGCAATCGAGTTAAAAAAAAGGTCAAATAAAAACGATTTGCCTCAGTAATAAAAGCCACTTAAGCCTTGTTCAGACAGTATATTATCATTTTCCACTTAACTTGCACTTCACAACACAAACTTGTTTCTGCAAAGACGTTCATCAGGTTTTCTATAAATAACCTCTGACGTGTTTGTTTTATGTGGCACAAGAATGTGAAAAAGCTACGCTAAATCCGATCTGAGCAATCAGACCGAAACGGATTTCCAGAAACGTGATTTGAATAGGATTTCAAACCACATATGAATGTAGCTTGAAATGGATTTGTAAAAATCGTATTTCATGTAATTTTTTTTTGCATGTTCACACATGCTAAATATGATCGGATTCCAATCAGACATGCACAAAAATCTCATTTGGACTGACCATCTGAACAAGGCATTAGAACACCTCAGAAACCACACAGCAACACCATAGAAAACACCTAGCAACCTCATAATGCAATAAAGCCACTTAGAGCACCTCAGCAACTGTATAGCAACGCCATAGCAGCCACCGAGAACAGCCTAGCAACCTCATTACAATTTAAAAAAAAAGCAACTTAGAAACATTTACATTTAGTCATTTAGCAGACACTTTTATCCAAAGCGACTTACAAATGAGAAAAGCCTCAGGAACAGCATAGCAACGCCATAACCACCCAGAACAGCCTAGCAACCTCATATCAATGCAATAAGTCAATTAAAACACATCAGCAACTGCATAGCAACACCATAGCAGACACCTAGCAACCTCATAACAATGCAATAACAGCCACTTAGAACACCCCAGCAACCACATAGCAACACCACAGCAACTAACCAGAAAACACTAGTGACCTTATACCAATGCAATAAAACTGATTAGAAAACCCCAGCAACTGCAAAGCAACCACCTAGCATTATAAAAGCCAGTGCAACAGTATACCAATGCCATAGCAAATATCTAACAACCTCACAATGCAATAAAAACTACTTAGATCATTTCGGCAACTGCATTGCTGCGCCTTAGAAACCACCTAGAACAGTACAGTGTTTTCTCCAGACTAGCATGTGACGTGTTTGTTTTATGTGGCACGAGAATGTGAAAAAGCTACGCTAAATCCGATCTGAGCAATCAGACTGAAACGGATTTCCAGAAACGTGATTTGAATAGGATTTCAAACCACATATGAATGTAGCTTGAAACGGATTTGTAAAAATCGTATTTCATGTAAATTTTTTTTGCATGTTCACACATGCTAAATATGATCGGATTCCAATCAGACATGCACAAAAATCTAATTTGGACTGACCATCTGAACAAGGCATTAGAACACCTCAGAAACCACACAGCAACACCATAGAAAATACCTAGCAACCTCATAACAATGCAATAAAGCCACTTAGAGCACCTCAGCAACTGTATAGCAACGCCATAGCAGCCACCAAGAACAGCCTAGCAACCTCATTACAATTTAAAAAAAAGCCACTTAGAAACATTTACATTTAGTCATTTAGCAGACGCTTTTATCCAAAGCGACTTACAAATGAGAAAAACCTCAGGAACTGCATAGCAACGCCATAACCACCCAGAACATCCTAGCAACCTCATATCAATGCAATAAGTCAATTAAAACACATCAGCAACTGCATAGCAACACCATAGCAGACACCTAGCAACCTCATAACAATGCAATAACAGCCACTTAGAACACCCCAGCAACCACATAGCAACACCACAGCAACTAACCAGAAAACACTAGTGACCTTATACCAATGCAATAAAACTGATTAGAAAACCCCAGCAACTGCAAAGCAACCACCTAGCATTATAAAAGCCAGTGCAACAGTATACCAATGCCATAGCAAATATCTAACAACCTCACAATGCAATAAAAACTACTTAGATCATTTCGGCAACTGCATTGCTGCGCCTTAGAAACCACCTAGAACAGTACAGTGTTTTCTCCAGACTAGCATGTAAGGATGTGGTTTGTCTGTTCAGGTGATCAGTGTCCCTCCTGGCGGGGCTCTCCTGGATGTCACAAAGCCCATGGACTTCATTCCTAAAGCAACCACCTAGCATTATAAAAGCCAGTGCAACAGTATACCAATGCCATAGCAAATATCTAACAACCTCACAATGCAATAAAAACTACGTCGATCATTTCGGCAACTGCATTGCTGCGCCTTAGAAACCACCTAGAACAGTACAGTGTTTTCTCCAGACTAGCATGTAAGGATGTGGTTTGTCTGTTCAGGTGATCAGTGTCCCTCCTGGCGGGGCTCTCCTGGATGTCACAAAGCCCATGGACTTCATTCCTGGTTTCAACCTGGAGGGCTTCCCCAACCGGGACAGCACCAAATACGCAGAGCCGTATGGAATTGAGTCCCCACGCACGCTCATCAGAGGAACTCTGCGCTTCAGGGTATTCGTGCTAATGAGATGTAAAGATGAGTGTAAGCTCAGTGTTGCTCCCATGCCTGTGCATCATCATGTACCGTATGTGTCTGCAGGGCTTCTCCTCTGCAATGAGTGGCTTCGTCAAACTGGGACTCATCAACACTGAGCCCTGTCCACTGCTGGGACACACGGCTTCTCCGGTCTCATGGGTATGGATTTATGGATCTTTTTTCCATTATATTCATGAAATGTATTTGCTTGCATGCAAATATATACTATTAATACAAAATAATAGTAATATAAATGTCATTGTGTCTCGTACACAGAAAGAGCTTCTCTGTAAGCAGATTGGCTTGTCCACATCTGTGAGCAGCAGTGTCTTTGAGGATGCCATTTATGAGCGGATCGGACGGGACGACTTCAGAATGCAGAGTCTCAGATGGTGGGTCGAGGAATTCACTAACAATGTTTTATAGACTTCCATTACAGTACATACTGATAATATAGTGCTTGGCAGTAACTGATTACATGTTATCTGAAGTACACAATCAGATTTAAAAAATGTTTCACTTGTAATTAGATTATATTACATTTTAAAATGCTCATAATCAGATTACAGTTTCTTTTTATGGATTACGATTACATGATTGCAAATTTGATTCTCCCTTTTTCCTCTAAGTTTTACGTTCTAAAAATCCTTCTGTATGTCATTTTGAATACAGTGAGTATTCACAAAGTATAATGGCCATGTAAATGTCATGAACATTAATATGCAACACATGTCTCTGAATTTGTGGACAAAAGCACCTCTTTAGTCAATTACACCACATATCAGACGAATAATTACACAAGTTACTAAACACTGCCGATGTACAAACTGACAAAAATATTTACAAACCTAGAAGACTTTGACCATGTCATTGCTGTTTGATGTTTGTTTATGTGATGCAGGGATTCAGACCTCTTTAACCTAAAATATTTACTTGAAGTCCAGATAAGATTTAAAGCTATTATTTCAGTAATTTAATAACAGATTTGTGTGTTTTCTGGTGTCTTATATTTTATTTCTCTGTTTGTTTTTTTTATCAAAATTAATTAATTAATATTGTAGTTATTTATTTAATTGATGTAGTAAACATCACTTAGAACAACCCAGCAACCGCATAGCAATGCCATAGCAACCACCTAGCAACTTCAGTGCAATAAACACCATACATGCTTCAACACATACAATATTATATAAATCATATTAGCTCCAATAATACATTCTTTTAATTATTAATAATGTCTTCATAATGTCTTAATATTTATGAAAGTGTAAGATTATACAGTATAGCTGACTAACTGGATGACTCGCATCAGGCTCGGGTTGCTCAGTGAAGAGCCGGTTCCTCACGCCGAAACCATCTTAGCAGCAGTTGCTAAGCATCTGGAGGCTAAACTGTCTTTCGGTAAGGAGTCAGTTCCTCTTTCTTTCTTATGCCATTCTGTCTTACGTCATAAGATTCAGAGAGCTTTGAAGATTCAGCATGTGTTCCTGAAGGTCATCCATCAGGCATCACAGACGTATTGAGTCATACACAATATACACAAACCTGAAGTCCAGCTGCACATAAATGAATGTTGTTTTTGGATCGTTTTGTCTGGTGCAGCTAAAGGCGAGCGCGATATGGTCATCATGAGGAACGACGTCGGAATCAGACACCCAACTGGCGAGCTGGAGACCAAACACATCAGCCTGGTGGTTTACGGGGATCCCAATGGATACTCAGCCATGGCTAAAACCGTGGGCTACCCAGCAGCCATTGCAGTTCGTATGGTGCTCAACGGTCAGTGCAACTCGACTTGAATATGCACATTTAACGGCAAATGTTACAAAAATGTATTTTATTTAGATATGCACCAATATATAAAACTGGGCCAATACAGACTATTTATATTTTGAATTTAAGAAGTGATATTTTGCCCAAAAATCTACATTTTACAAATATAACAATGCATGTTGTATTTTAATTTAACATTTTATTTTATTTTATTTGTATTTAATAACAGGTAGACCAGCTTGCAATAATGTGAGGTCCCATGATCATTTGGCCATCATTTATTGGCTTAAATATATATTTTACTTATTGGACCAAAACCAATAACATTATAAAGTCACAGTTATTCTCTGATACTGATATATCAGTGATATTTCATGAATCCCTCGTTTCATGCCACTGTAATTACATCAGTAGTTCGTATTGTTCCTAATTATTAAAATATAACATTTTAAAATATATTTCCAGGATGTAAGTAATTCCACACAATGCCCAGACGCTGCTCTTATAAAGTCACTTTGACTTAATGTGAATGTGTGACGTCCCACCGCAGGTGAACTGACCACTAAAGGACTCGTGGTGCCGATGACGAAGAACATCTACAGTCCGGTGCTGAAGAGACTGCAGGAGGAGGGTCTCCAGTGCATCACCAAGAGCACCATATCAGAGTAACCACACACCTTAAGATCTCAAAACTCATTTCTGTGCCACATGTGTGTAATAAAACCCAAACATCCATTACCGCACATATTCCACAATGAACGCTTGCAGATCTTCAGAGTGATCCAACGGTTAGTACTTGTTTCCAAACTTAAATCTAAAAGTAGATTTACACAGTCTGTAGTTGTTTGTATTAGTTGACAATGGGTGTTCATTTTTATCAGTGTCGTCATAAATTGGGAGTGTAAATAAACCCCCACAAAGCACTTTGACACAGAACCGTCCCGTTTCCACTTCCTGGCATTGAAAATGAACTTTATACACCGTCAGTATTTTCTTACCCTTGTATGAAAACATGAACTTCTTTCTCAGTTGAGTTCTAAACAAGCAGTAGCATCATATTAATGCAAAACATTGTCATGTTGAGTACTACTGATAAAATGATCCATTTTCTGTAAGACTTTAACATCGTCAACTGAATAATTCTTAAATGTGAAAACTTGGCACTGTAGTGAATTGTTTCAAAAAAAAAAATTCACATTATAAATGTGAATTAGCATAAAAATCATTTCTAAACCATTTTAAGCATAACATGTCCAAAGAGTTTTTAAAACCAGCTTTTGTCCAATAAAACATTTGCGTTTTCTTTCATTGTTTTATATATATATATATATATATATATTTTTTTTTTAAATCAGCTTTTGTCCAATAAAACATTTGCGTTTTCTTTCATTGTTTTATATATATATATATATATTTTTTTTTTTTTAAATGTCTAAAATATTGTTTGTCATCTTCAGTAGACAGAAATGAGAGGAAATTACCCTTTACCCCCCTCTTTTATTACATAATAATGTGTATATATATGTGTGTATGTACACCCAACTTCCGATTAATATATATATATATATATATACATATATTAAAAATTAATACTTTTTATTTACCAAGGATCCATTAAATTGATAAAAATTGACAGAAAGACATCTATTTCCATTTCAAATTAATACTTTTGTTGTTAATTAATACAGTTTTTTTTTACTTTTTCATCAAAGAGCATCTGGAGAGAGAGTTGTTTTAAAACTAGCTTTATCCAAACTTTTGTGTTTTCTTTCATTGTTTTATATTCCTCGTTTTTCTTCAAATAAGCATCTAAAATATCATTTATAAAAATATAAATGTCATAGACAAAAATTTGAGAAAATTAGCTTTCACCCCCCTCTTTGGCCCTTGTTGCCCTGTGGCAGCCATAAACACAGTCTGCATTGTTGGTGGTGTGGGGCCATCAGTGCGGTCACTATTAAGTAGGCCACCAAGCGCAGGATAATTGGGGCTGTACTTACTAGAAGTTAAAAATGCAAATGAAGCTACCAGTAGCCCCTCAAGACCATGTCTGGCCATTTGACCCATATTTTTGTGTAAATTACCTTTTGTTCTTAAGACTGGATTAGAATTGAGGAATAATTACAAGCGATTCTTCAAAGGGATTATTCCATAACTCATGTAGCTGTCATCTTCGTCACCAAACCCTTAAGCCGTGGACTTATAATAATCGGTTCCTGAAGATGCAGTGGCTTAAGGAGTGATCTGATCGTTGCCAGAAGTACCGTCTCGATGGCTTAAGCCAAGATGAATTTGAGTAGGGCTGAAGCAGAAGTTAACTGAAAAACAACCCTATTTGGTGAACGTCCTTAAGGAAACCTGTCTTTGTTCTCTTTTACTGACCTCCTGGACAACATGGAGAACTGAAGGACTGTTGGTTGGTCTTGGTTTTGGTGGTTTGGCAATCAGGATGCCGAGGTAACAAGAAAAGCAAGTTCAGAATTAACAGCTGACACGAGCCAAGCGGCTGCTGTCTGGAGACTGTAATCAACACAAGTCTGTCCTGAGGGCAGATGAAAACCAGAGTTCAATATCACATTTTGACTCATCCCTTGTTTTTAAAAATACAGTGAGGAACCTAAAATGAAAGTTTAAATGCAGAAATTCGTAGCTTATGTTTGTTTTTATTTATTTTATAATGCCCTGACATTAATTTTTAATTTACGTAAGTAATCTTTTTTGTATCAATAAAATAATTTTTTATTTTATATTATGCACATTGTATATAACACATTTTTATTATTTAATGTACATTATAAAAATTATATAATGTAATCTTGCTCTCTATAGAGGGTGTCAGATTTAAAAACTATAATTATATATATATAATCTTATATTTAAATAAATATATTAGTTGAGGGTTAAGGGTCAGAATTTTAAAGAAATTAATACTTTTATTCAGCATGAATGCATTAAATTGATCAAAAATGACAGTAAAGACATTTCAATTTCAAATAAATGCTGTTCTTTTAAACTTTTTATTCATGAAAGGATCCTGAAAAAAAAAAGATCAGTTTTTACAAAAATATTAAATACACAGAAAAGGTCAGAGAGCGATTTTAACATGAAGCTTGCTAGTATGCATATTGTTTGCTTTGTGTCTACATTACTGAAACGGTGACAATTTTAACATTTGCAAATTGACCTCATTCTTTTTTTTTGTAAGTGCCTTGCTGATTTATTTTTTTTCCTTTTAAAAAAGAGATTAGGGGTAATGTGGAAAATATTTTTGTGGTGTATTAACATTATTAAACAAACTATTCCTTTTAAATATATTGTCAAAAAACAAGAATTATAAAGTCTAAGCACATGAAATATCCCAGCATAAACAGACCAGTCTCCTCGCGTGCTTTCTTGTTTGGTTTAATCCTACGAACAGACAAAAACATCTTGTACAGCTAAACAGTGTCAGTATGTAATGCATCATCTTACGTCAATAACAAAACAGAGAGGCATCAGAAATATTAAAACATCATTTCAAATGTGACTAAATTATTCAAACGCAGCCATGTCTTGTAAAGCACTAGTGCCTCAAATATAAAATTCTAGACATAAATAGAAATTTGGTCCATCGACGTGGTTGCTGTAATATTATTTACACATTAGAATATTATTTCCTGCCCTTTATCCATGACTGATTTTGCCACTTTCTTTGTATATTTGAATGAAAAAACTGTGGCTGAAATTCTACTTTAAAAAATAGACTAATAAAAAACAGTCTTATTAAAATAAAAATGGTGTTTTCCCTTTTAAACAAGCTTTTAAGCAAATAAATATGACTCTATGAGAAGACATTAGTACGTAAGACATTAGCACAAGGTGGCGATTTAAGAGAGAAACAATGAATAAAAACATGGAGTGTACAAAGGCACACAGTTAATGACAGCGCTGCATCCAGCAGAGCGCTATCAGTCCAGAGATGGACTGGGGGGAAACAAGAGCATTCTTTGATAGAAAAACAAGTCTTTTTCCTGTGCCGGCTCGTCACTATGGTTACACCAAAGATTCCAGACTCTCGGCCGCACTCGAGACGCCTCCTGGGACCGTGCTGTTGTTGTCTGAAGACTGAAACGCTCGCTCGTCTTCTTGGGTGCTGACCAAACTCAGGATGGCTTTGTAGAGGAACTGATACTGATCCTATCCGACCAAAAAAAATGACAAAATAAAAAAAAAACAAGAACATGTTGGTAGTTTGACCACCGCATCCCGCTCAAAATATAAAATTTTCCCTTGTGGATTTGAGTTAATTCCACCTCAGGGCAGAATTATTAATGACTGACTTTTCCTCATCAGAACGGCTGCCAACTCCAGATAGATGGAAAAAAACACTTAATTTCTTTTCAAATGTCTAAATGCCAATAGTCTACAGACACATGGAAAATCCTGAAGTTACAAAAATAAATATCATAAAATATAAAAAAGCACATACTAAAAAATTTTTTAAATCACCTACATAATTTTTAACAAAATATATATATATATCTTTAAAATAACCCAATAATATAGATTTAAATTGTTGTTGTCCCCCCCCCCCCAAAAAAAAAATTTAAAAAACTGTTTAATTTAATTGCAATTTTGTTTTTCTGAGCAAAAAATAAATATCATACATTTTCCCCTGATTTACAGAAGAGACCCACTAAAATGTAATTCAGTGTAACAATCTTGTTAGGCATATTTGCAACAAAAAATCAATTTATGACATTAAAAGACTAATTAATTTCACCCCAAATACTAATTAGTTGTAATTTTACATTTTTAAAAGTTGCCATTATCCTAAGAATTTTTTATTCATTTAAAACACAAATTTAATATGCTCCCTTATTCTTTTATATATTTTAATGTACACGTCAGAATAAGCATGTTGTTTGAATTTGTACATCAATATTGTGTTACACAATGACAATGTAACATTATTTCAACCAAATTTTGACATTTTATTCTCCAAAAACTTATTTGAAACCTTAAAAGTAAACACTTTACTTACATTTAATATGCTTTCTATGGACATAAAATCACTTTTGTAAATTTCTTTTGATGTGGACATCTTAATGTCTTTGACCCATATACATATATATATTTATTTATATATAGTTTGGCCTATAAAGTAACGCAAAAATATAAATATTTATATTTGATACATGTATTATCATTTATCATATTTTATACAAATTACAATTTATATATATATATATATATACACAATATATATTATATCATTTAAAATGTCATATTTATTTTATATTTTATATGTCAAAAAATAGTTGCAATTTAATGCATTTTTATATTAGTAAGCATTAAATATAGTATGTATTTATGTATGAGCTCTTTTATAGTTGAAGATTTATATAGTGTAAATATCATAATTGATGTATTTAGGAGTGTGTTTGATTGTGTAATTACAAGTGGAAAAAAACAAGTTGTCTTGAATGAAAGCATGCAGATGAACCCTCACAATGTCAGAGAAGACTCCAGGCCTCATGAGGTTGATCATCTTGGCCAGCATGTAGACGTTCAGCACACTCTCGGCTTCAAGCTGCTGCAGTAGAGTGAACAGCGCACAGAACGTTCCAGCCGTCACACCACCACGCCTGCAGATACAGCACAACTCACGCCTTCAGAAATCATCAAGATGTAGAGATTATTAAACAAATCCATGATAAAGCATGTTCAGTTCTTAACCCTAGCGAGCCGCCCACCTACACGGCATTATTAGGCATCAAAGAAGTTTAAAATTAAAAACTACTTTTCCTACTTAAATACAATAAATCTCACATACTTTAAAACTTTTACTCAAGTAATATTCTAAATGGTGACGTCTTCCAGAGTCATTCTCTGGTAAGATAGCTGTGCTTTTACTTAAGTGTGTCTTTCAAGTACTGTATCCACCACTGCAGACAGCAGACAGTGAGGCAGCTCACTAGTTTCTGGAACAGACATGACATGTCTTTTCCAAGACGCAGTGTGCATCTCCTTCAGGGCCAAGATGCAACTCACTCGTCATGTACGACCATGGGTCCATCTTTGGAGCCGGACTCTTTTTGGACGATGTTGATCAGCTCAAAGACATTACTGATGGGACTGTCTGGGTTTGGCCAGCGTGGAGCCCGGTAATGCTTCACTTCTAAAACAAAATCATCCTGAAAAAAAGAGAGAAAAGAGGTTATAATAAACAAATCCATCATTAAGATGTTTTTAACTACAAACCGTTGCTTCCAGGTAAAATACAAGTCCGTATCACCACTTTCTCCAGTGAAAAGTCGTCTCGTCTGAATCAGGAGAGAAATACGTACAGATCATGCACTGTTTACAAGCCAAAACAGTCTAAACAAATATGTCGGTGGATTTTGATGTGAGAGCAGAACAGTGGATGGACTTTTTCACTGGAGGAAGCGTTAATATGGATTATGGACTGGTATTTTGAAGTGACTTTTTAAAGTTAAAACAACTTGTTGGATTTGTTTATTACAAACAAGCAGCTTTTCGCTTCACATGACATTAATTGATGGACTGGAGTGGTGTGGATTACTGTAATTTTTTTATCAGCTGTTTGGACTCTCATTCTGACGGCACCCATTCACTGCAGAGGATTCATTGGTGAGCAAGTGATGTAATGCTAAATTTAACCAAATCTGCTTTGATGAAAAAAAGTTAACTTTTTTTTAAGTGTGTGTGTGTTTATGATCAATATGCTTCAGCAGATACAGATGGTTTAATGCCAAGCGTGTGAAAAGTACCAGATGTGAATTTTAACAGACTTTCGTCAGCAGCCATTTGCTCCTCCTAATATTTTCCACAATTGTACGGCAGGCACCAGCTGCAATCTTCAAAACAGATGCCTGTGTTCGTGTTTTTGAATGATTCTGGAGAACTGACGCAAAGAAATCACTCATTTACAGCTCTGTGAATCGATTATCTCAGCTTTAGTATGATACCTTCCTTTCAGTGCATTATGGGTAAAATCTCTGATCCTCTTAATGTTGCTAATGTTAGCTGTTGAATCTGATTGGCTTTGCAGCAGATATGATGTTACCTGTGTGGCCTCTAGAATGTAATCCTGCACTATCAACATGTCTTCATTGGACAGGCACACGTGGGTCTCCCCTCGTAACGATACAGAGAACGTCTCGTAGCTGATTGGCTGATCTCTCACAGGCCAGAATATGATTGGCTCGCTGTCTTCTGTCTGGGAATGGAATAAAGAAATGAAAGAGTGAATGAGAGATTAATGAAAGTACAATCGGTTTCATTCAGCACTGGAAGATCGACGGGAAATGTAGGAAATAGGCCTGACGTTATAAAGCAGTTAAAAGCTGTACTGACCGTGCTACTCATGTCCGACAATGAAACAATAACCTGGGCGTTGTGATCCCACACCATCCTCCACAAGTCCTTCACTGTGCTGGGCAAAGGATTCTGGGTAATGATGAACTCTTTGCTCTGCCGATAGCCCTGATATGAATGCATGAATGAGTCTTAATATCAATCTAAATAAGGTTATAAATAGAGGATTGACCGGAGAAACTTTGAATGTCTCACCATGACATATGAGGCATTGATGTAGTCAGACGTCTCTCCTGCTGATGTGGACAAACACACTCTGGATTTCTCCACTGCAAAACACACAACAATCACATGAGAGGACTGAATATCTGTCCATCCATCCATTCCTCTATCCATCAGTCTATTTGTCTATCTATCTGTCTGTCCGTCCAACATCAGTCTTTTCTATCCATCTATCTATCCATCTGTCCGTCCGTCCGTCCAACATCAGTCTTGTCTATCTATCTATCTATCCATCTGTCCATCCGTTCATCCAACATCAGTCTTGTCTATCTATCTATCTATCCATCCGTCCGTCGGTCCAACATCAGTCTTGTCTATCTATCTATCTATCTATCTATCTATCTATCTATCTATCTATCCATCTGTCTGTCCGTCCAACATCAGTCTTGTCTATCTATCCATCGGTCCATCCGTTCGTCCAACATCAGTCTTGTCTATCTGTCCATCCGTTCGTCCAACATCAGTCTTGTCTATCTATCCATCTATCCGTCCAACATTAGTCTTGTCTATCTAAAGAAATTACAGACTATATCTGTCATAGACACAGATATCTATCTATCTATCTATCTATCTATCTATCTATCTATCTATCTATCTGTCTGTCCGTCCGTCTTTATCAATCTATCTATCTGTCTGTCCATCAGTCTTGCTATCTAAATAACAGACTATATCTGTCATAGACACTGATATCCATCTATCTGTCTGTCATCTATCTATCTATCTATCTGTCTGTCTGTCTGTCTGTCCAACATCAGTCTTGTCTGTCTATCTATCTATCTATCTATCCGTCCGTCCGTCCGTCTGTCCAACATCAGTCTCATCTAACCATCTAACATAAAATAATGAACAGATAATGAAAAATAACAATAAACACCAGGAATCAGAGAGCAGCTCCTGTTCTTTGTTCTGTTGCAGTCATTCAGGGCACTGCTGTAATCATTCTGTTTGGCATTCGACTGGCACACCAACTGCAATGACAAGGTCATTGTCATGTATATCAGGTTACATTATTCAACTACAACTGTGCTGATACAAATACTTCCAGCTGTGCTCTTCAGAAATCACTAAAGAACTGAGAGCTCACTTACTTTAAACTGCTTTTCCAGCTGTGTCTTACATGAGGCCCCTGGGGTTAGGAGGTTGTTAACATACTGATGAATATGGCTTGATGGCACCTCTGTCTCTTGACTCAAAATGGCCTCTACTAGAGCATCATGGGTAAAGATGTATTGCTCCTGTAAGGGTACCAGAACAACTGATGTTGAGAAGGAAACTTGAGTCCAACTTTGAGATTATATTTTAAGCAACACTAAGGATTGATTAAACAGAAAATAATGTATAATTTTTCTTTATAGAGCAAGTTCTGTGCACCAGCATGAGATTTGAATTGCTGTTCACTCACCTCTGTTTGAACTAGATAGTTCCGTTGTGTACGAATGTGTTTGAGGAAGCCCATAATGTTGACTGTCCCCTGCCCTTTAATCTGTTTTAACATGCTGTCCAACACTATGTAGGTCCCTGTTCGGCCCACTCCAGCACTAAGCACACACAAACACAAACACACGTCAGAAGTGTAAATTATACAATATGACTTTATACGTTTAAAGATAGTCCTGTAGCCCACCTGCAGTGTACAATCATTGGCCCCATGTGGTCTGTTTGAGCTCTAGAGGACTTGTAGACGAATGAAAGCACTGGCAGGACGTACTCAGGTACACCCATGTCTGGCCACTGTGTGTAGTGGTACTGTATTACTGTCCTCTCGTTACTACGACCTCTCTGAGAATCCTAAAAAAAATATCATCAAAATCAAGTACACATGTGATCTATAAACAAGCAAATGTTAACGCAATCCTTAATTGTTTTAAAAAAGAAAGAGTTAAAAATCATGTTAAAAAGTTAAAATTTTAACATTTAATTAATTCAATTAATATTAACAATTTAATATTACTAATATTAAAAACCTAAATGATTGTGTCTAAATAAATGAAAAAATAAATACTAAAATTTAATCTACAATTTTAAAATGCCGAAAGTGAATGTAGGCATTACATCATATGTACAGTATTAAAAATTAAAAGTAATTTTGAGATTTGCTAAAGATTACATTTTTAGAGTGTATTTTAAATATTCACTTTAAGTGAGTTTTAGATTATGGCAAAGGTAGTAAAAATAGAGGAAAAACATTCACAATTAAATATTCAACATCGACCAATACAATACAAATAAACACCAAAAAAAAAAACTCTATTATCAGCCCTTAACTACTATTGTTCCAATATATTGTGTATGCCTACTTGATACCTTCTTTATGCTGGTATTTCTGATGGTGAAGGTTCTCTGGGTGTAGTGCGCGAGGACTTTTGTGCTCTTAACAGTAACCAAAAAACATCCATAGTCTTCCTGGTTCTCCAGAGGCCAGTACTGGTCACACTTCCTCTGAGAAATGGATAAACATTGTTGTGTTCAGGCTGAATGAACCCAAATTTGTTATTGTCTTGTCACCCCAAAATAAAAATGTCATCATTTACATTCTCATCCTCTTCTAAACCAGTACAATTTAGCATTTCCAAAAGAAAAAAAAAAAAAAGAAAAAAAATTATATATATATATACATACATATATATATATATATATATACACATATATATTCTTGTCCATGTGACTTGTGGGCTATATTTCAAGTCTTCTGAAGCCATATGAAAATGTTTCTGATAAGAGAAATCTTTTTTGGGTGAACTATTTTTAAAATGTCAGGCATTACATCAATTAATTTAGGTAGAACCTGCACTAAAATGGCTCACCCTTCCTTTCTCCATGATGTTTGTGATCATAACAATCACTCCCACATTCTGCTCCCACACCATCCGCCAGAAATCCACTGTGCTGGACTTTAAGGGCCCTTGTGCTGCAATGTAGGCTTTCTGTTTGTTAAAACCCTTGTGTAAAACAGAAAGAAGAAACAAATAAAGCTACAGGAAGTAGGGAAGAACAAGTATTCTTAGTTTAAACATTGAAAGAACATCTCAGGCGACACAATATTACAATAGGGGCCCCAAACACTTTCTCACACTCAAAGTGCCACCATGCCTGACCTTTCTATGATCGAATCAATAGCAAATCAGCAGTGCTTTTTATCACTTGTGCTAGTTAAATGGTTACCCTTTGAGGTATTCATGCCTCACTGATTAAATAATGATATAATCATCATGATTTGCCTGGCAACGTTTCTGAGTTCAGTTAAAGTCTCTCACATCCACATAGTTGGCATTTATATAGTCCCCTCCACTTCTCCCATCTTTGTCATTTAGGGGTGCGAGTCGCACTCTGCTGTGGTCATCTAAAGGATGTAATTGAAGATGTAACCATTTTATATCAGTCACAGAAATGTGCATCTAATGCTTGTATTAATTTGTGGCAGTGGTCCTCACAGGCTAAAATGTTGACGTATCGGTTCTTGTTCTTATTGTCTGGATGGCTGGAACAGTCCGTTGTTGTTCCGAGGTCCACGGTGCACGTCTGAACTTCCTAAAAAACACAACCCACTATTCCAACAGTCTGCCATAAAGTGACAACACTAAAGACATAGTCAAAGTGCAAACAAGTGAGCGTCACAAATTCATGCTAAAGCTATCAAAAGCAAACAAATTAAAGGGAGATGTTGCTTACCTCAAAATACTCTTTCAATATCTAATGGGGGAGTGAGAATGCAAAAAGCAATGAAATACAGTAACAAACTGTGCACCAGAAAAACAACACAAAGCAAAAGCACTGACAGCCTGGGTTGGATTCTGCTCATTTTAAGTGTTACTCTACACGTTTCAGGATGCTGATTGGTCAGTAAAGCAAGAAATTACGTCACATTGTGAGATATCGAGTAAGATTGTGAAAGTCACAATTATGAGAAATAAAGTCAAAATTCAAATGAACTTAAGTTGCAATTGGGAAATATAAAGTCACACTGTGCAACAAAGTTGCAATTATGAGAACTAGTCACAGCTGTGAGACATGAAGTCACAATTGTGATAAAGCTGCAATTGTAAAATAAAGTCAGAATTTTGAGATATAAATTCTAGTGGTGTCAAAATTAGCGAGTTAACGCAGGCGATTCATTTTTTCAGTTTAACGCGTTAAAAATATTTAACGCAATTAACGCAGAGGCGGGGCTAGGGTTGGCCACCCCACTCACAACTGCTGCTTCTGTCACTTTTTCTCTTGAGAAGTGCAGAACGACTGAGAACGGGAGACTTTTCAGATGCACGCTCCACTTCACTTCACTTCAGCGCCAGGCGCAAGTCAAGCGAGCGTGGAAACGGTACTGTGCTCGCAGCGCATGATCTTCAATTGCACGCACAAAGGCGCCGGCGCGCTGTATAGCCTGTATCCTTTCATATCAAAGCGTGAAATAAACTACGTGCATGCAATGTCGTGGTCAGTTAAGTCATGAAGTTACCAAAAAGGCGATTAAAGCTGCCTTAAAACTGTGCATGCATGTAATATATTTTATATGAGTCACATTTTAGAACATGTCTCTGAACTGGTTTTCAAAACTGTCCTGGAGCAGCCCAGCACTGCCTCACTCATCTAACACACCCGATTTAACTCGTCAGCTCATTAATAGAGACTTTAAGACCTGAAGTGGGTCAGAAAAGGTAAAAAGAGTTGAGAAAATATGATGTGTGTCAGATCCGTGTCACATTCGTTTCACGTTTCAAAGAAATAACAGCCAAAATAACCTAATAACTAGCTGCTGTGATGTCCATTAATCAAAGGACAAAGAAAAAAAAAAAGAGGAAAAAATAACTTTTATAGCTTTAAGGATTCATCTATATTTAATTTAGAATTTAGCATTTGATAACTTCAATTTCTTTATATTTCCGCTGAAGGGCACAGTTAAATATGACATTTATTATAATGGGTTTATGTGAAGATTGTTTTAAGTTCACTTAAATTAGAGAAATCAGTATTGGTATTATTGATACTGGCCTTCTGTCATAAAAAAAAGATGCCATTCAACAAATATAAAAAAAATATACTTTCTATGTTGTTTGCACATTAATTTGAGTATTGAATATGAAATTATTGCAATATAAAAGTATATTTAAAAACTTGATATTAGCTGGGATTGATCTTGAATAATTTCAGGAAAATGTGTTATTAGTTAATTTTTTTATTCGATTGACAGCACTAATAAAGTCACAATTACAAGAAATAGTCACAATTGTGAAAAAATATGTAATTGTGAGATGTAGTCGCAATTACTGTAGAAGAAATGAAGTTTAATAAAGCTGTAATTCTAAAATATGCTGTAAATTCGCAATTCTAAGAAATAACTGCAATTGTTAAATAAAGTTGCTAAATTGTGAGCAATAAAGTCACAATTTTTAGATATAGTAACAATTACCAGACATAAAGTTGCAATTGTGAGATATAGTTGCAAGTGTGGGATATGAAGTCACAAGAAATAATTGCAATTCTTAGATTACTATGAAACATAAAATTGTAATTGTTAATTGAAGCCACAACTGTGAGAAATAAAGCCGCAATGACAAGAAATAAAGTTCAAATTACGAAAAGTTACAAGGCAAAAACAGGCTTCCACGCAAGCTTTATTTCTTAAATATATTTATAATCTTTTTCTTAAATTTTTATAAAAGCAAAAGTAGAAATATACCCAAATATATAATTATCTGATGACTTGAGATATGTTGAACTTTCAACTGAGGTTTTGGTTTAATGCAGTTAATGATTCCATGCGTTTCTGTTGACTTTTAACAAAGTCAAAATAATAAACGAATACCAGTAAATTTTCAGGAACCTTTTCACTGCTGTATGAATGAACTTAGTGACAAATATCAACTATGATCAATTAAAATGGACAGAATCCAAAGACCTGCTGTCATGGATTGAACAGAACATGCATTCAAAGTCTATCGTTTGTATCAGTGCAGGTGTTTAACGTAACTAGCATGCCACAAAACTCATTACACTAAAATAAACTTTCATTCAGCCTGGACATGACACAAAAAGCAACACAGCTCTCAAACAGAAACTTCTGAAACATATGCATCACTTTTTCATAGGTAGCGCTTATGACAAGAACTAATAAATTAGGTTTACTGTCTCGTTTGTGTCCAATTAAAGCTTGAATTTTTTTTGTGCATGATCTAATGAAGTGTGAATAATTTAATGTTATGGTGAGAATCTACAATCTGACACTGATTGATGTTAATGAATCTGAAATAAGTATTTGACCCCTTCGCAAAACATGACTTAGTACTTGGTGGCAAATTGTAGTTGGCCACCAGGTTTGCACACATCTCAGGAGGGATTTTGTCCCACTCCTCTTTGCAGATCCTCTCCAAGTCATTAAGGTTTCGAGGCTGACGTTTGGCAACTCGAACCTTCAGCTCCCTCCACAGATTTTCTATGGGATTAAGGTCTGGAGACTGGCTAGGCCACTTCAGGACCTTAATGTGCTTCTTCTTGAGCCACTCGTTTGTTGCCTTGGCCGTGTGTTTTGGGTTATTGTCATGCTGGAATACCCATCCACGACCCATTTTCAATGCCCTGGCTGAGGGAAGGAGGTTCTCACCCAAGATTTGAAGGTACATGGCCCCGTCCATCGTCCCTTTGATGCGGTACAGTTGTCCTGTCCCTGTAGCAGAAAAACACCCCCAAAGCTTAATGTTTCCACCTCCATGTTTGACGGTGGGTATGGTGTTCTTGGGGTCATAGGCAGCATTCCTCCTCCTCCAAACACGGCGAGTTGAGTTGATGCCAAAGAGCTCGATTTTGGTCTCATCTGACCACAACACTTTCACCCAGTTCTCCTCTGAATCATTCAGATGTTCATTGGCAAACTTCAGACGGGCCTGTACATGTACTTTCTTGAGCAGGGGGACCTTGCGGGCGCTGCAGAATTTCAGACCTTCACGGCGTTGTGTGGTACCATTTGTTTTCTTGGTGACTGTGGTCCCAGCTGCCTTGAGATCATTGACAAGATCCTCCCGTGTAGTTCTGGGCTGATTCCTCACCGTTCTCATGATCATTGAAACTCCACGAGGTGAGATCTTGCATGGTGCCCCAGACCAAGGGAGATTGACAGTTATTTTGTATTTCTTCCATTTGCGAATAATCGCACCAACTGTTGTCACCTTCTCACCAACCTGCTTGGCGATGGTCTTGTTGCCCATTCCAGCCTTGTGGAGGTCTACAATCTTGTCCCTGACATACTTGGACAGCTCTTTGGTCTTGGCCATGGTGGAGAGTTTGGAATCTGATTGGTTGATTTATTGCTTCTGTGGACAGATGTCTTTTATACAGGTAAAGAGATTAGGATTTTAAGAGAGTGCTCCTAATCTCAGTTTGTTACCTGTATAAAAGACACCTGGGAGCAGAAATCTTGCTGATTGATAGGGGATCAAATACTTATTTCACTCATTAAATGGCAAATCAATTTATAACTTTTTTAAAATGCATTTTTCTGGATTTTTTTGTTATTCTGTCTCTCGCTAAAATAAAATAAACCTACCATTAAAATTATAGACTGATCATTTCTTTGTCAGTGGGCAACCGTACAAAATCAGCAGGGGATCAAATTATTTTTGGAATCTGATTGGTTGATTTATTGCTTCTGTGGACAGATGTCTTTTATACAGGTAAAGAGATTAGGATTTTAAGAGAGTGCTCCTAATCTCAGTTTGTTACCTGTATAAAAGACACCTGGGAGCAGAAATCTTGCTGATTGATAGGGGATCAAATACTTATTTCACTCATTAAATGGCAAATCAATTTATAACTTTTTTAAAATGCATTTTTCTGGATTTTTTTGTTATTCTGTCTCTCGCTAAAATAAAATAAACCTACCATTAAAATTATAGACTGATCATTTCTTTGTCAGTGGGCAAACGTACAAAATCAGCAGGGGATCAAATTATTTGTTCCCTCACTGTATGTTGTCGTCTTATCCACATATGCACTTGAGATTGAACTATAAGCTCAAAAAATAAACTCAAAAACCATATTCAATCTAATCCACAACACGTTTTAACAGGATCACCCAGAGAACTTCCTTAACTGTTTTGTCTAAAACAGTAACTTCTTGGAAGGGATTAGTGACCACAATGAAAAGCGACACAGATTTAACGCTAACGTTTCAAGACGTCCCATTAAGTGCGCATCTGTCTGCTCTCTAAATGAGCACCATGTAGCTACAGATGGACAAGCAGTCATACATGCCCATGTTCTGCTGAGATTGAACCACCCACGGCTGCACTAACAAGACATGAACATGGCTTGGTCGTGTTGAACATAATCACGTGGAGGTTCTTTCTCCAGCCTGGCAGCATGTGTTCCCTGTAGGCCCACAAACAACAGATCAGCGTATCGGAGATTTAATCACCGGTTCCAAGATTACCGATTTAATCTCCTCGCAATCTTCACGGTGTAACAACAAAAAGTCAAACATGAGCAATATGTTGAAGGGGCAAGAGGCACGTTGGAATGAGAAATGTACAATCTTGTGCCACTAAACTGTTTACACTTCTGAGACATTTTCTTAATGGGATTGCCAAAGTTGCTTATTTCACGGTTGGGAATATCTGATGGTAAACAGGATTTCAGACTTCCATCCTGGTGTGGAAGGACCATTTTTACCGCTTTGGTGTGAATTCTGGGCGGTTTCACACACACACACACACACACACACACACACAGAGAGAGAGAGAGAGACCACCGCCACATCATGGTTTGTTTATCTTACTTCCTTTTGAGGTGGTACCTCACCCGGTGGGTGTGAGATTGGGTCTGTGCCCAAGATTAGACCCCCATCACAGACAGACAACACGCTCCTCATGGGGCCACACCACTCCCCCTTATCGACTATTGTTATGATTATGGATTAGTAACAATATGATGGAAATCATGAGCAGCTGTCTCAGAGGAAGTATATTTTTGTTTTCCATGCATCCTGTTCGACTATGCATGACCAATGCCAAAACAGTTAAATGCACAGTAAAAAAAATGTAAAAAAAATAAAATAACCTTGCTTGGGTAACATAAACTGCCTTTATTTGTGTCAAAAAAAATGTATGTAATTTAATTTATTTTTAATGGTCAGCAAGTGTATGCAATATAGAAATAATAAAACAAATGTAAAAAATTACATATATGTTAATTAAAAAAGGAAATGTTTTTTACATTTGTATTACATATACAATTCTATATTAAATAAGATGCTGTTACCCATTGGACTTACCTCCAGTAGATAAAAATGCCAATCAAAACGATGAGACCCAGGAACGTGAGGGTGGAGACCACAGCCAGAGGAATCACAGCCGCCTTCTGGCGCTCAATGCTGCTTGCCAGGCCCACCCGTGACTCATGACTGCTGTTACCAGCATCTATGGGTTAAAAAACACCCTACTCAGATCAGAGCATCATTAGTAATCAATGTTCTTGATGAGAAATGCAGTATCCTATTAGAGATAATTAAACACAAAAAAGACACAGCAAACAAACTCACCTTATAAAATGTTTTTTTTTTCAAGTCAAGTGGAACTATCACATTTCACATAACTTGTAACACAGATCAAGGTTGATCTTACTATAGTACTAAAGTGACATCATTTGCAAACCAGTAGGCCTTAAGACATGCAATAACTGAAACAATGCAAAAACAATGAATGAATATATACAGTATGTAGATGCAATAAAGTACAATTAATGCAGTGGATAATAACAACAACAAAATAGCAGTTTTTGTTAAAGGTGCTAAATCTGCATAAAATGACTAAAAACCACCATTTGTTCTTTAACATATTGAGTTCAAGCTATCAGACACACAGGATATTGACTCAGTTTTTCTTTGATTCTTAAAGACCTTATAATCAGTATGTCGTCTATAAGGATTGATATAGCACCACTTAATCTATTCAATCATAAATGTGTTTTGAGTTGGTCTGACACTAAGAAGCTAAAGAGTTCACAGGTCATGATTCATTGCAGACAGACACGTTAGAGAGATTAATACTTGGCCTAGGACTGTCTGAGATGACCTCGGCATCCCAGCCAAAACACAATGCTGCCCTGCCAGCTGTCACCTACTAGTGACCAAATATAAGAGATTTGCTGCTCTCTGCTGGACAAACAGGGAAATGACTAAGTTCTCTCATGGAAGAAGAATCAAACTGTGCTAACATATCTAAGCCAAATCTTAGCTCAGATGCTATGCCTCCATTCAGTTTAAATTGCTATACAAACATTCTTTCATATAACACTGGATAAATCTACAAATTGAGCCCATAAACACTATAGTAATTGCTAAATATATAACCAGGTATCTTGGATTTGACTTGAGATGGAAAACATGCTGTTGGTATATTTCTGATAACTGATGTGAGCATGCTAATACACATTTTAGCAAATAATTACATGAAGAACATGCAACACAAAAACAGAACACACGGGAATCACATGGGACTAGGAATCAGACACATATTGTGATGATGGGATTGAATTCTAATTAAGATGATGGTTCTTTAGTAGCACATTTTAGCCTAACTTGTCAGAATATTTGATGTATACAATAATTAAGGACAATGCAGTGAGCAAGGTAAGTGAGTTCTTACCTTCCCAGTGAACTACCTTCTACAGAACATTTTCTGGATGAGATTTTAGTTGTATAGGTGACATTTGTGGTTGGTTAAGGCATTCAGAATTTAGGATGGATTAGTTGTCCTTGCAGCAAGAGCTTTCAGATACTTTAAGACTCTTCACTTATGATTCACTGATCAAGCTTCACTGAGCATGTCTAAATCAAGAAGCACCTTCAGGAATGGATGTCAAGAACCGAGAGTTTTACCTTCCACTGGTTCCTCCTCTGAATCCCTCTCAGTGCGCTCTGGAATACTGAAGTCTGAAGAGGTCTCATTATCTGTGAGGTTTTCTCCTGATCCGCTCTCCTCTTCCCCACTTCCTCTTAGAGTCCAGGATGGGCTAGGGCGTAGGGTGACTCTGAACTCGGTAGTTTCACTATCTTTCCCATTCTCACCTTCAAAGTAGAAGGAGGAAGAGTGTTCCTCGTTCCCATCATCCTTCTCTTCAGGAGGTACCTCTGTAGGAGTGGCAGTGGTGATATATGGGACAATACTTTCATCTCCTGATGCTGAGCTCTGGCCCAAATCTAAGTCAAGAGCCCAGCCCGAGGCACTGTTCTCCAGATGTCCATCTGCAGAGTGTGTAGGCATGGAACTGGACTCTGGAGCAGAGGAAAGTGCAACGGTTGGGGGCACCACAGGAGCAACCACAGAGATGGATTCTGGGGCAGAGGTTGGCGCAATAGTTGGGGGCACCACAGGAGTAGGTTTGAATATTAATTCTGCAGTAGAGGTTGGCGCAATAGTTGAAGACCTTACAGGAACAGGTGCTCCCTGGGACTGTCCAGTTGTACTTTGTGCAACGCTGCTGTTGGTGGCTGAAACAGAAATGCTGAGGTCACTAGACGGCATGGTAAAAATGGGAAGAGATGACAAAAAAGCCTCGTTGCGGAGGTCCAAATCTGCTTTGCTGCACAGAAGAGTACCGGCGCTGAAGGTGGACAGAAACGAATGGTGTTCTACAGGACTAGATGGGTCACCCAAGAGACCACTACACGGGGACAGTCCCAAAGTAGAGGAGGGCAGCAGGAAGTTAGAAGAGGCATGCAGAGAGATTTCAATAGATGCACCATTGTCTTGACTAAAGGTAGGAGCTACTATAGATGAATCTACCCACTCTGTCAGCAGTCTAGAGTCACCAACACTACCTGAGAGAGAAGAGTCAGAGTCGAGGGTTGTTGTCATCAGAGAGTAGTCGTTAGAGACAGGAACTGAAGGCTGGAGATGTGCAAAAGAGCTCAGCATGGAGAAAATACTGGGGGACTCAGAGAGGTCATGTTCAGAGCTTGGCTGCATGGAGACCACAGAAGCAGTCACTTCTGGTAACGTTTGAAGGGGAAGAGTACTTCTACACTGGGGGTCAGCCGAGATGGACCCAGACAAAATATCATCATCACCATCATCATCAATACAACCACCACTAGAGACAGGCTCCATGTCTAAATAAGACTCAGAGCTGGTGAGGAATAGGGTAGGGTAGGAAGGGGAAGGGGAGATAGACTGTGCACCACCATACACCAGCTTGGAAACAGTGTATGGGATGTCCCAGTCAGGGATGGGCTCAGACAACACACTGCTTAAGGAATGGGGTGACACAGGACTTGCATGCACGTAGGACAAAGTGTCAGATACAGAGGGGGCATACGAAGCACTCTCACCATTAAACACTGGTTGGGTGGTCTGCGACAGAACAGTGCTGAAAGCATCAGTGGTTGGAAAAGGCAAGTTAGCAGTTGTAGGCCACAGAGGGACCTCTGGGGGGAAGGTAGAGGAAGTTGATTCCACTGGGATTTCAGGCAATGGTGCTACAGTCACTGAACTCTCCCCATAGCTGTGTGAGTCGGTTACAGGTTGAGTCACTTCCTCAACTTCCGAAATGTATATCGAAGGTGATGTTACAAATGTTTTAAGGGTTATGCTTTTTTCAAGGGTTCTGCTTGTTTCAGGGGTGACGCTTGTTTCAGGGGTGATGCTTGTTGGGGAATCTGTGAAGGTATTGCTTTGGCCATCAGACTCTGAGGATACACCTGCTACAATGCTAGAACCATCTGGTTTAGTGGTATGTATATCCACAACAAAACTGGTGGCTATGGTTGCCGGGATGGTAGGTTTGTCTGTGTATTTCAGAGTAGGTTTATCTGTGTATACTGCTGGAAAATAATGATCATGAGTCTTCTGGGAGTCTTCTACTGAGAGTCTTCTTTCATGAGTCCTTGGTGTCGTCTTAATGACTGGATGGACCGGGCGCTCTGTTTTAGTAACTCTTGGGCTGGTTGTGGTGGTTTGGAAGGGATATGGAAGCTTATTTGTGCCAGGTCTGATCAAAAAGGGATTGATGTGATGGTCTTCCTGAAATAGAAGAAAGAGATGGACAGAGAGAGAAGAGGTGTTTAGATTTGTTGTTGAAAAAATAATTTAAATAACTATACACTAAAGTTACATTGACAGTTACCTCTTCATCATATTCAAACGAGTCGGAGTCATTGTCTGTTTCTGAAAATTAACCAGACATAAAATAGTTAAAACACTGTATGAGTAAAAGATTCACATGTCAGCTACAGATAAGTATGTTCTGTATGCTCTTTACAGTTTTTATAACAATGTCTGTGACACTGAAACTAAACCATTCTGGTATTATATTGAACTATTATATAATGAACAGATAATTGGTGAACAGATCCGATAGTGACAATATTTTCAGTCTTTTTACTTAATAAAATAATTCTGAAAACAGTTTCATGTAACATGTACACAAACACACACCTCAGATACATTTGAAAACCAATCAGTGCTTATAATTTCATCCATAATGGACAAAGAAAATTCATGTTTGAGAAACAAACCTCGAAAACACAAATTGGTTTTCAATGTGTATTCAATGACAAACCACGTGCCTTAAAGGGACATTTTTTTGGTATTTGGTATTATCTGTTGCTGTTGAGAGTACTGAGGTTAAGAAGGAAGGAAAGGTAAACCAGGCCACCACCAAATAGAATTTGTTTAGATCACTCTTCAATACATAGAGAACATAAAGGAGCAATATTTGGGTCAGTTTTTGATCACACATTATATCACACGACAGGCGAGTTTGGACACCTTCATGCATTATAAATCCTCCCAGCACACAGAGATAGAGAGAGCTTTCAATTTCTTGCAGGCTCTTACCTGTCATGGGATCAAACTCAGTGACATAAAATGGTGGAAAAGACTCCAGAGATTTCGTGATATGTGGACAAGATCGGTTTGTGAAGCATGGAAACATTAAAAGGTAGAAGATGTATGATTTTATCAGATAGATCGACCCCACTTCACTGATGTAAACCCAATCAACTCTCAAACACGTTGTGACTTGTTTGATTGGAAAATGACAACACATATATCCATAGACACTGAAATATTATGACAGGGATTCTCAGAGAGACAGATAAGTTTATTATAAATCAGTAAGCAAAATACAGACCCAACATTCCAAAGAATTATAAAAGAACACAAAAAAAACACAAAATGAGTATTTGTGAGAGACAGAAAAACATCAGTAAATAGAAGGAAATTCAAAATGCAAATAGTGACGACAAAGTATAAGATAGACAGAGAATAAGAGGAAAATCCTTCGAGACAACATGCATAAGAATACTGACAAAGACAAAAAGTCTACCTAAATCCAGAAGCTGTAAGCAATTTTAAATTCCATTCACAGTTCAAATTAATGAAAACATTTAAATAAATATGAATAAATTACAACTTTTTATAAGGTAAAATATTCTACTGAAATTGGCAGCAATTTATTAAGTTGTTTTCAAATATGCTATCAGTTTGTGTCAGCCTGATTTAACACTATAGTACCGAACTTTAGTCTGAAAATGCAAATGCGAATACATGTTCATTATGAACATTATGAATGTTTCTAGGTATGCAAATGCAAGTTTGTGTGTTGCTGAAATCCAAAATGTGTCAGAATAGTCTTTAATACCTGGAGAAAACTGTCCATTAGCACAAACTGTATGTTCAATAGGACACATGCTCTTACAATCCATAGGTCAAGCATTCTAATCTATGTTTACATAATCACGTACTGTAAAGTATTTGTCCATCTAAAACCTGTGAAACACTCAAGGACTGTGTCCATTTCTTTATAAGACTTAATGGACACCACACCATTTTCTGGACAAGGTAACTGGTTTGCAAAGGATCAATCTACAGCCTGAAGCATTTGGTTTTTGTCTAACATTTGCAGTAAAACTATAAAACTATGTGGGGCATGAGTGTTGTAAACTCATTCTCCACGGATGCGAGGGCGGCGGGCGCGATTGGTCTTACCAGCATCATCCAGGGGCATGTCCACTGTCAGCTGGTCACTCACTCTGCCATACAGACCATTGGTGCACACAGCAACTACCTGCACCATGTAACTAGTGTTGGCCACCAAGTCCTGAATGATCGCCCCCTAGTGGTTAAAAAAACAAAAACAAACTAAATGAATCACAATTGATTATCAGAACCTGCAATGTTATTCAACTTCTAGAAGGTAAAACATTGAAAGGTGACATTTACAGTGTAGGCCTAATTTTCAAGATGTGTTCATTAATATCTGATATTTATGACAAAAAAGTTAATGAATTACCACATCCTGGTCTCCATCAGTCAAGTACTCTAAGGCCGATTCATCATCGCCCTGGGCCGGCCGGTAAGTGACTGAGTATCTCTCTATGCTCGAGTCATAAACGGCCCGCGGTCTCTCCCAGATCACAAGCATACTGGTGTGATTATTAGGGTTGGCTTGCACATTCTCTGGCTCAGAACTACAAACTATGATAGCAAACACACAAACAAATACTGTTAAAATTAGTCACTCTGGAACTTTTCTTATATTAAACAACAATGAACAGGAAATAATACTAATAATAGAATAATAATAATAATAAATGCCAGATAAAAAGATAACATGGTATCCATAGGTTTCTCTATTGCATTCACTACCGTTTAAAACTTTGGGTTCGGCAAGATTTTTTGATAAGTCTCTTGTGCTCACCAAATTTAAAACATCTGTTTTCTATTTTAATATAATTCCAAATGTAATTTATTTCTGTGATGCAAAGCTGAATTTTCAGCATCATTACTCCAGACTTCAGTGTCACGTGATCCTTCAGAAATCATAATATATGCTGATTTGCAAGAAACATTTCTTATTATTATCAATGTTGAAAACAATTGTGCTGCTTAATATTTTTGTTGAAACTGTGATACAATTTTTTCAGGATTCTGTAATGAAGAGAAAGTTCAAAAGAACATTTATTTGAAATAGAAATCTTTTGTAACATTCTAAATGCATTGGGTCAGATTATGGCAGATTATAGCCTGGTTTAACATCGGTTTAGTTAAATCCACATAATTTTCATCACCCTCAGAGTTCTCAGTAACAAAGCATACTGATGTGGGATGTTTTTGGTGTACCACCGCCCATCAGCTTCTAACACAAGAGGGCAGAAAACACCCGCAGATGAAACCATCTGTCTACTATCAGGGTACTTAAAAGTGATTTCTAATCAGAGTACTTAAACTTAAAAATATTTTTTGTTAACCCTATAATAAAACAACAATCATTTAAAAAAAAGCCTTTTTTGAGATTTTTATGATATTGTTACTATTTTGATTTATTGTCGTCATTTAGTGTAGAGTTTTGCATTGGTTCCATCCTATACTTTTCATATGCTGATGTAATTCCATTTGGGAGTGAGCACATGTGCATTTACAGGTCATGTCTTGCATTCATATCAAACAAATCTTCTTTTATGATCAAACTGCTAATTATTAAAATTGCAAGTGACACAGACCACTTTCAATTAACACAATGATGATAATAAATAAAGAGAAAAGTAAAAGCTAATTAATAAAAAAAATAAATACATACACACTCTGCATGTATGCTTTCGTTTCAAACTAACATCAATTTTGGTATATTAGGTGTAGACAGTTTGAACTGAATTCAACCTGTGCAAGTGAGGGGGCAAACAGCAAGAGACAGTTTCCTAGCAACTCAAAACTGTTTTGATACATGACCCAGAGAGAGAGAAAGCAAGAGAGACTGAATAGTGGTGAGTAAACATTGTTAATACTGTGAGCACAGTGAAGGAGAGGTTAAGCAAATCTGGTTTGTCTGGACCGGGCGCTCTGTTTTAGTAACTCTTGGGCTGGTTGTGGTGGTTTGGAAGGGATATGGAAGCTTATTTGTGCCAGGTCTGATCAAAAAGGGATTGATGTGATGGTCTTCCTGAAATAGAAGAAAGAGATGGACAGAGAGAGAAGAGGTGTTTAGATTTGTTGTTGAAAAAATAATTTAAATAACTATACACTAAAGTTACATTGACAGTTACCTCTTCATCATATTCAAACGAGTCGGAGTCATTGTCTGTTTCTGAAAATTAACCAGACATAAAATAGTTAAAACACTGTATGAGTAAAAGATTCACATGTCAGCTACAGATAAGTATGTTCTGTATGCTCTTTACAGTTTTTATAACAATGTCTGTGACACTGAAACTAAACCATTCTGGTATTATATTGAACTATTATATAATGAACAGATAATTGGTGAACAGATCCGATAGTGACAATATTTTCAGTCTTTTTACTTAATAAAATAATTCTGAAAACAGTTTCATGTAACATGTACACAAACACACACCTCAGATACATTTGAAAACCAATCAGTGCTTATAATTTCATCCATAATGGACAAAGAAAATTCATGTTTGAGAAACAAACCTCGAAAACACAAATTGGTTTTCAATGTGTATTCAATGACAAACCACGTGCCTTAAAGGGACATTTTTTTGGTATTTGGTATTATCTGTTGCTGTTGAGAGTACTGAGGTTAAGAAGGAAGGAAAGGTAAACCAGGCCACCACCAAATAGAATTTGTTTAGATCACTCTTCAATACATAGAGAACATAAAGGAGCAATATTTGGGTCAGTTTTTGATCACACATTATATCACACGACAGGCGAGTTTGGACACCTTCATGCATTATAAATCCTCCCAGCACACAGAGATAGAGAGAGCTTTCAATTTCTTGCAGGCTCTTACCTGTCATGGGATCAAACTCAGTGACATAAAATGGTGGAAAAGACTCCAGAGATTTCGTGATATGTGGACAAGATCGGTTTGTGAAGCATGGAAACATTAAAAGGTAGAAGATGTATGATTTTATCAGATAGATCGACCCCACTTCACTGATGTAAACCCAATCAACTCTCAAACACGTTGTGACTTGTTTGATTGGAAAATGACAACACATATATCCATAGACACTGAAATATTATGACAGGGATTCTCAGAGAGACAGATAAGTTTATTATAAATCAGTAAGCAAAATACAGACCCAACATTCCAAAGAATTATAAAAGAACACAAAAAAAACACAAAATGAGTATTTGTGAGAGACAGAAAAACATCAGTAAATAGAAGGAAATTCAAAATGCAAATAGTGACGACAAAGTATAAGATAGACAGAGAATAAGAGGAAAATCCTTCGAGACAACATGCATAAGAATACTGACAAAGACAAAAAGTCTACCTAAATCCAGAACCTGTAAGCAATTTTAAATTCCATTCACAGTTCAAATTAATGAAAACATTTAAATAAATATGAATAAATTACAACTTTTTATAAGGTAAAATATTCTACTGAAATTGGCAGCAATTTATTAAGTTGTTTTCAAATATGCTATCAGTTTGTGTCAGCCTGATTTAACACTATAGTACCGAACTTTAGTCTGAAAATGCAAATGCGAATACATGTTCATTATGAACATTATGAATGTTTCTAGGTATGCAAATGCAAGTTTGTGTGTTGCTGAAATCCAAAATGTGTCAGAATAGTCTTTAATACCTGGAGAAAACTGTCCATTAGCACAAACTGTATGTTCAATAGGACACATGCTCTTACAATCCATAGGTCAAGCATTCTAATCTATGTTTACATAATCACGTACTGTAAAGTATTTGTCCATCTAAAACCTGTGAAACACTCAAGGACTGTGTCCATTTCTTTATAAGACTTAATGGACACCACACCATTTTCTGGACAAGGTAACTGGTTTGCAAAGGATCAATCTACAGCCTGAAGCATTTGGTTTTTGTCTAACATTTGCAGTAAAACTATAAAACTATGTGGGGCATGAGTGTTGTAAACTCATTCTCCACGGATGCGAGGGCGGCGGGCGCGATTGGTCTTACCAGCATCATCCAGGGGCATGTCCACTGTCAGCTGGTCACTCACTCTGCCATACAGACCATTGGTGCACACAGCAACTACCTGCACCATGTAACTAGTGTTGGCCACCAAGTCCTGAATGATCGCCCCCTAGTGGTTAAAAAAACAAAAACAAACTAAATGAATCACAATTGATTATCAGAACCTGCAATGTTATTCAACTTCTAGAAGGTAAAACATTGAAAGGTGACATTTACAGTGTAGGCCTAATTTTCAAGATGTGTTCATTAATATCTGATATTTATGACAAAAAAGTTAATGAATTACCACATCCTGGTCTCCATCAGTCAAGTACTCTAAGGCCGATTCATCATCGCCCTGGGCCGGCCGGTAAGTGACTGAGTATCTCTCTATGCTCGAGTCATAAACGGCCCGCGGTCTCTCCCAGATCACAAGCATACTGGTGTGATTATTAGGGTTGGCTTGCACATTCTCTGGCTCAGAACTACAAACTATGATAGCAAACACACAAACAAATACTGTTAAAATTAGTCACTCTGGAACTTTTCTTATATTAAACAACAATGAACAGGAAATAATACTAATAATAGAATAATAATAATAATAAATGCCAGATAAAAAGATAACATGGTATCCATAGGTTTCTCTATTGCATTCACTACCGTTTAAAACTTTGGGTTCGGCAAGATTTTTTGATAAGTCTCTTGTGCTCACCAAATTTAAAACATCTGTTTTCTATTTTAATATAATTCCAAATGTAATTTATTTCTGTGATGCAAAGCTGAATTTTCAGCATCATTACTCCAGACTTCAGTGTCACGTGATCCTTCAGAAATCATAATATATGCTGATTTGCAAGAAACATTTCTTATTATTATCAATGTTGAAAACAATTGTGCTGCTTAATATTTTTGTTGAAACTGTGATACAATTTTTTCAGGATTCTGTAATGAAGAGAAAGTTCAAAAGAACATTTATTTGAAATAGAAATCTTTTGTAACATTCTAAATGCATTGGGTCAGATTATGGCAGATTATAGCCTGGTTTAACATCGGTTTAGTTAAATCCACATAATTTTCATCACCCTCAGAGTTCTCAGTAACAAAGCATACTGATGTGGGATGTTTTTGGTGTACCACCGCCCATCAGCTTCTAACACAAGAGGGCAGAAAACACCCGCAGATGAAACCATCTGTCTACTATCAGGGTACTTAAAAGTGATTTCTAATCAGAGTACTTAAACTTAAAAATATTTTTTGTTAACCCTATAATAAAACAACAATCATTAAAAAAAAAGCCTTTTTTGAGATTTTTATGATATTGTTACTATTTTGATTTATTGTCGTCATTTAGTGTAGAGTTTTGCATTGGTTCCATCCTATACTTTTCATATGCTGATGTAATTCCATTTGGGAGTGAGCACATGTGCATTTACAGGTCATGTCTTGCATTCATATCAAACAAATCTTCTTTTATGATCAAACTGCTAATTATTAAAATTGCAAGTGACACAGACCACTTTCAATTAACACAATGATGATAATAAATAAAGAGAAAAGTAAAAGCTAATTAATAAAAAAAATTAATACATACACACTCTGCATGTATGCTTTCGTTTCAAACTAACATCAATTTTGGTATATTAGGTGTAGACAGTTTGAACTGAATTCAACCTGTGCAAGTGAGGGGGCAAACAGAAAGAGACAGTTTCCTAGCAACTCAAAACTGTTTTGATACATGACCCAGAGAGAGAGAAAGCAAGAGAGACTGAATAGTGGTGAGTAAACATTGTTAATACTGTGAGCACAGTGAAGGAGAGGTTAAGCAAATCTGGTTTGTCTGGCTACATTTGACATTGCATTCCCTTGTTATGTTTTTCTGAGATGGCATCAGTCACTCAGTATGTGGTGAACACTTATCAGAATGATATATATATATATATATATATATATATAGCGAGAGAGAGAGAGAGAGAGAGAGAGTAAAACACTTACAGGAAACAGCAAATCCAACAAAGAATATCAATAATCCAAACTGATGATCTTAAATCTTGGCCCTGAAATCTTTTTCAGCACATATCCACCCTCACATTTCACGTTTCCCAAGGTTTAAATGAAGTCACAAGTAATCAGTCAGTCTTTACAAAGTAATAATGCAGCATTAAGGTTGTAAATAACATTCCCCAGGCGCTGATTTAAGCTTAGACACAGGTTGGAGCGGATCTGTGTTTGAAAGGACACAAGTGGGACATTTTCCATTGCCGATGGCCCCTTTAAAAACAACTCCCACGTGCCAAACGTGCCAGTTCACCCTGTAGCGGAGAAATCTGAAATGGGGGCATCGATGTTCCACCAACGATCTGCTAAAGCGAAATGTCTGAGAGCAAAACAGTTCGGATCTGCAAGTGGTTCTTTAAAATGAGAAGGTCGGACTGAGTAATTGATTTGTGAAACACTAAACGATAATGTAATCTGTAATCACATTAGACATAATTTCACATTACAGTCCCGTGCACCTATATTTTTAAAGAGGTACGATGACCAATATTATTGATAAAATATTAACAAAAAAATTATATATATATATATATATATATATTCATGTAAAATACTCATTTGGAATAATTTAGACATTTAGACAGTGTTCATTTTTAACTTGTGCAGCTTAAATAATGGTTAAATTATTATATTAATCTAGAAATCAAGTTCTAAAGAAGCACCAAAAATCCATTTGCCTCCAACAACCTTTTGGGTGACAATTTTATATATTTATCCTTAAAAATTCAATAATTAATTAACTACAGCCTTTTGTTTGTTTTGTTTTTATATCCTACATCAGTTTATTAGTAACGATTCATACAGTAGAACACCCGTGAAATGAGTGGGAATCATCCATAAAGGGTCATGAAAGCATTGCGTTTGGCTAAAAATGGGCCAAATGTCTGTCTATAATTATAAATAGAAAGTAGGAAAATGTCTGGAGGGCTTTGTCATAAAAAATAGAAACCTTATTTAATTGAGAAGCAGTTGTTTGGGATTAGAATCATGTTGGAGGCTAATTGGATCCATAACCCTCAAACTGCCTGACTGCTTTAAGACCTTAAGAATGAACGCTGCCAGACACATGCTACCCTAGTTTGTTTATGCGTGTAAGTGTGTTTGTGAAGTACGTACTAGGAGTATGGACCTCCTCGATGCCAGTGTAGGATGAGAAGACTTGTCCCATAAATTGTTCCTGCTGCTCTCTGTAGTTATTCTGCAGGTAGTCCATTAACATGACATATCCAGCCTGCTGCATGGTCATCACCTCACAGAACATCTCTAGCTGTGGACACATACGGTGATGCAGATTAAACCAACAAAACTGTTTCTGTGTTCTGAAGGGGTCTAAAACAGAAAATATCTGCAATATCTGTTTTTAAATCCATGTTGAAAACCTACTTTTTTGACTTGGCGTTTTATCAATGAGAACTTTTCTACTGTACTGTTTCTTTTAGTAATTATTTTGTATTGTCTTATTGAACTGTTTTTACTGTGCAGCACATTGGTCAACCCACGGTTGTGTTTAATAGTGCTATATAAATAAAATTGACATTGACATTGACATTGAGAAAAGCAGCTAGCATTATTATCATACAAAATAAATACTTCTCATAATACCTTCATTAGTCTGACTGTTAAGTAAGCAATATCACACATATACAAGCGTTGTTGTTCTGAATGTCCACCATGTTGATATTCAGACCAAGAGTATGATTGCGACTATGATATTGCTTCTATATAATAGTTTAACAAATAAGAAATTCCAGTGTTTTCTATGTAAACTTGCACTAGACAGATGTGTTTGACTGTTGCACTAACGTTTCGCACACGCTGTTCTTAAAAAGTTAAACTTGAAAAAAAAACTTGTCTTCGGGCAACACACATGTGTGTTTCTGAATGAACTAGTGTTTTTGAACAAATTGGTTGAGTGAATGTTTTAATGACTCACCCATAAAGAGACAGACTTGTCCATTGCAGAATGAATCAATGTTAATGAACAAACTGGTTGAGTGAATGATTCAGTGACTCACTCATAAAGACAGAGTTGTTTGTTCCTGAATAAATCCAATTTGCATACTATCCACCCTAAATAATGTTCAAGATTACTAATCTTGAATACCATTTAGGTTGGATAGTATGCAAACTGGGATGCAGATGTTTTTTAATATATCGGTTGAGTTAATTATTTAATGATTCTCTCATAAGTACAGACTTCACTGTTTTTCAGTGAATTGGTTGAGTGAATGATTCAGTTTGCATATGTTGACAAAGATTATATAGATAGCTTACAGGTGATGATAAACTGCTATGATACTATAAGGACTAAACATACCTTCCTAAAACATATCTATTGAATCGCTATATAATAACAAAAACTACACACAGTACAAACACAGTGTAGCCCAGCGGCGAGACGTCCACTATTGTGTTCAGACATCAAAGCTGCTCTTTAATGTGTGTGAGTCTATGTCATTCCCACTGTGACGTCAACAGGTGTGGGTTTGTTACCTTGCGGTAAAACTCCTGCTTTCACCTTGTGTTTCAACTGTAGCTTGTATCGACTTGCAAGTCACTGGAGGGCAACAGCCCCAGAATGAATGACACACAACACAAAAGCTGTGTTTAAGTATTTACAGTCTTTTGTGATGTGTAACTCTACACTTGCTCCCTCTAATTCCATTTAATGACAGCTTGCTTTTGAATGCGTGGCATCCAATATTACAAATGCTGTTGTCTTCCTCTTTTGGAGGGAGTCGGCTTCCTTTTTGTGTGAACTTTACTATTAAGTGCCAAAAGCACAGCTAACTTATTATTGGACATGACTTAACAGATTTCTAAGAAATCAAATGTCAAATCCAATGTAAAAACAAGCACAGGAAACTAAACTGATCTATCGTCAAACTAAGATTGATATTTGTATGATCATGTTTGGGCATGTGTGCCATTTCTAGCTAATTGTTTTTAGTTCCTGAGAGTGTGTGTCACATAGAGTCAGTGTTGCATAACAGATGCCAAATGACAAATAGACACCACAGTCACAGTATCAGTCCAGATGTCCTCAGGGTTTTTTAGGTAGGAAAACAGCAGAATTCCTTTTGGCGGTGAAATAGCAGTATGTTTTGAATTATTCATTGAACTTGTACCAGACAAAACAAGGTAATTTTCATTATTTATGAGTGAAATGTGTTTGTTGATATTAAAGGTCATATGATGCCATTTCAATTTTTCCTTTCTCTTTGGAGTGTTACAAGCTCTTGGTGCATAAAGAAGATCTGTAAAGTTGCAAAGACTAAAGGCTCAAATCCAAAGAGATATTCTTTATAAAAGTTAAGAGTCAACCACGCCTACCTAAAACGGTTCGTTCTAACATGCCCCCACATGTCTACGTCAAAATGTGGGAAGATTTGCATAACGCCGCCTAAATGTTCACGCAAAGAAAGAAGGCGTAACTTTTATTCTCACTGTAGTATTGTTGTTGCCTCCGCCGCCATGTCGTGAAGGTTGGCCTACTTTGGTTGGCCTTCCAAAAGAGGATGCCTAGAGCTGATCCGTGCTGGTCGCTGAGGAAATACATCAACTTCGCACGGTCGATCGCCGGATCGGCTTTCACTGTGGACGAAGCGGAGTCCAGCCCGGGGTCGTCACATGTGGTTGCCGCAAGCCTGTTGGACGCTCCTTTGTCGAATCCGCCGGCCACTGACGATTCAAAAGCGAGTTTTTTGAGCAGTGTAGAGTAGCACTTGTTGTTTGTCATTTCTCCGATCACAAATGCAGACATGGTTTTATGTTTACGCAGCGCGATGCAACGCAACGAGTAAAAAGACAGTATAAGTAATTATAATCCGTAATTATGTCCCCACTGGATGCAACAAATGCCTCGTTTATAATGGGTTTCATTGTTTTTGTCTCTTCGCTCCGGCCAGACAGGGCATCACAATATGGTAAGGGGCGTAACATTTCCGTCACACGCTTGAGGTATTTGGCCAATCACAACGCACTGGATAGCTGGCCAATCAGAACACACCTCGCTTTCAGACCGATGAGCTTTGTAAAAAATCTACGCGTTTCAGAAAGGCGGGGCATAGAGTAGAAACAATAATGTACAGTATTTGGAAAATAATGTGTTTCTTGAACCTTAAACCGCATAAACACATTTCATTACACCAAATACACAAAATAATGTTCTTTTTAGCAGCATCATATGACCCCTTTAAGCAATTGTTATCAGCAGTGTTTTTGTCTCATTTTGACCTCATCTTTCAATCTGTCAGCACATGGAGCTCAATAACAGTCTGTCTCCACTGTTTGTCGTCGGCTGTGTGTCAGAGCCTTAATTAAGAGGTCACCCAAAAATGTTGTTCCAAACCTTTATGGCTTTCTTTCTTCAGTGAAACATCAAATGGAAATTTTAAATAATGTGCTGGCCACTCTTTTCCAAGCAGTTGTAATACAACTGAAAAATCTAAATAAAAGTATCATAAAAATAGTCAATACAAAGAAAGTTTGGACATATGTCAAGATGCCTTCAGAAGACCTGGAATATGGTGTATGGACCACTGTAATGATGCTTTTGTGCCCTTTTTGAAGCTTGAAAGCCTTAAATAATGACAGACTGTTCATTTTTGGGTAAACGGTCCCTTTAAATCTGTATATAACACATGCAATTCCAGAAATATATGCTAGCAGGTCACTGCTCTAAAACTGTCCATTATACTGACCTGAACATCTGAGATGGTCACCGTGTTTTTAAAGACGATCCACTCCACAGTCTCAGAGCAGGGAGGGGTGGTCAGAGAGCCATTATAGATGAAGTACTTCTCTGTGGATTTGGGCAGGAGACCTTGCAGGGTGAACGGAGAGACAGGGCCGCTCTTTCCTGACCAGAGAAAACAGGAATAGTTCAAATGAAAATGAAACTCCTTCAGAAGACCTGGAATATGGTGTATGGACCACTGTAATGATGCTTTTGTGCCCTTTTTGAAGCTTGAAAGCCTTAAATAATGACAGACTGTTCATTTTTGGGTAAACGGTCCCTTTAAATCTGTATATAACACATGCAATTCCAGAAATATATGCTAGCAGGTCACTGCTCTAAAACTGTCCATTATACTGACCTGAACATCTGAGATGGTCACCGTGTTTTTAAAGACGATCCACTCCACAGTCTCAGAGCAGGGAGGGGTGGTCAGAGAGCCGTTATAGATGAAGTACTTCTCTGTGGATTTGGGCAGGAGACCTTGCAGGGTGAACGGAGAGACAGGGCCGCTCTTTCCTGACCAGAGAAAACAGGAATAGTTCAAATGAAAATGAAACGGTGTCATTATTTACACAGTTTCATGTTATTCCAAACCTGTATGACTTTCTATCTTCCATGGAGAAAGGAATTTTAGTCAGCTCGTCAAAGAAAGCTACCTTATGACTTACTTCAGAAGGACACAAATACAGACATAAGAATATAAGTGCATAAGAATATAGAGCATAAATCGTATGGACAACTTTTATGTTCTTTTTGTTATGGGTGCTTTTCCCCATTTATTATAATTTTAATGGAAAAGAGTGACAAACATCGTCAGAATTTCTGCTTTTAAGTTCCACAGAAGAAAGCCACACAGGTTTGAGGGTAGGGATGGGCGATATAGCTAAAAAATGTATCAACGATATAATGTTTCATATCGTTCTGTCTCGATAATTATTGACATTTTTTAAACCTTTTTTAAAACAAAAAGCAATAGACATTTTTTTTTTAATTTAACCACTGTATTTATAATTAACACAATTTATTGAGACAAACAACAAATATTTTTTGTTTTAACAATCAAACACAATAAAAATTAAATAAATATCTAATTTCTAATGTTTTATATGCAGATTAAATATGTCTTTATTGTATAGGTCTAATTGTCTCCCGAGGCCACAGGAGGGCGCAATGAGCAAAATAATGCAGCGCATTTAAGTTGTCAACGCAAGGATGTAACTCTATAAAAACGTGCATTACATATAAATTAACTCATAAAAATCAAATATAATTTTGTAAATTGCATAAACAATTATGAACAACACAGCATCATGTATTTATGCATTGCTTAATCCAAAGAGCCGAAGCGCCATTCACACAGATTGCATTTAAAAACGCAGTGAAATTCAGCATGTGTTCGTGTTTGTGTGTGCTGTCTGCGTCACTCATAGCTCGTGCCTATATCGTGGGCTATATCAAACAATTTTTCTATCGATATCGAAGAAGGTGTACCGTCGATAAATATCGATACCGTTTTATCGCCCAGGCCTATTTGAGGGTGATTAAATTCTGACAGAATTTTCTTTTTTAGGTGAACTGTCACTTTAAGGGCCTTTGAAAATGGAAGAGCTTAAAGGGGCCTCATGGAAAACAGGATTGTCCTATAAAATTTTGCAAATGTGTAGAATATGACACTTTTAAATGTAGAATATGAAGATTGCACATACCATAACGGCTGACACTGTTGACTGCGTCAATGATGGCCATGTAGTTTTCATTATCCTCAGTACTTATCTTCAGAGAGAACCATAAAAAAATATTTAGCAGCTGCTGCATAATAACAAAATACATGATACATTACATGGCCAAAAGAATGTGGACACCTGAACACTGCACATTGTTGAGCATTTCAAAGTTTTTTTTTTTCTTTTGCTCTTTAGACTAAATGGAGTTTTTATCGAATAAAAATAAAAATAAAAATTGATGATTCACATTTTATCCGCATCTATCTGCTTTCAAAATATGACATGTTCATACAAGCCACACTCTCAAAACATGCAGCACTAAACTGACAAAACAACACAATATACACACAACTTCATGTTATTGCGCATGAAGTATACCAAAATAGCCTCAGCCTACATGGATTACAAAAAAGCCTACATATTACAAAGATTTAGCAACACATTATGGTTACGTCCTGTCAGCCTATACCATCAAAACATCTGTGTGAAGATGAGGATTTCTGAAACTGCTCTGTACCACTGCTAAATGCTGGGTGGGGGTGTGGTGAGGTTTTGAAGCCTGTCTTTGATGGAGTGAGGACGTTCAATAAAGCAAGTATGTTATGAAGAAACAGCAACACCACAATTTACATATGTGACCCTGGACCACAAAACCAGTCATAAGGGTCCATTTTCGGAAATTGAGATGTATACATCATCTGTAAGCTGAATAAATAAGCTTTCCATTGATGTGGTTTATGGTTTGTTAGGATAGGACAATATTTGGCCGAGATACAACTATTTGAAAATCTAGAATCTGACGGTGCAAAAAAATCTAAATACTGAGAAAATCACTTTTAAAGGTGTCCAAATGAAGTTCTTAGCAATGCATATTACTAATCAAAAATTAAGTTTTGATATATTCACAGTAGGACATTTACAAAATATCTTCATGTAACATGATCTTTCTTAATATCCTAATTATTTTTGGCATAAAAGAAAAATCAATAATTTTGACCCATAAAATTAATTTTTTTGGCTATTGCTACAAATATACCCCAGTGACTTAAGACTGGTTTTGTGGTCCAGAGTCACATATGTAAAAATTATTTTCCTTAAGAATTTTGTTTTGTTTTCCAGTACAAATATCTAAGACATTATTAAAATTATGAATTAAGTTTAGCTTTTTCTTAGCTAACTAGCCAGTTTTTGTTTACAGGGTATAATAAACTTAATTCAAGACAATAAACAAATAACTGCTGAGTAGATTACTTACAAATTGTAATACATTACTGATTCCAAATTACATGACAAAATTTGAAGTTATTAACGTAATCCATTACATTACACATTTTAGGTAATCAGATTATTTTTCATTACTTTTGACCTAACTCGTTTATCAAGCTGATTTGAACAGGATAATCTTGTACCATATTGATATAAAAATACAAAGAGGAAGAAAATATATTCCATTCTTTGTTATTAACATCATGAAGTGAATTAAACATTACGTCAAGGTTTCCCTAACTGAGCTTCATAAAGGAACTGCAGGGGGCTTGTGAGTTTAATGAAAAGTTAATAATGAATTAAATCATAAAAATGTAAAATTCAAATAAATAAATTTTAATAAATCATAAAACAACAATAAAAAAAATGCTTACTAAAAAAAAAGAAATATTTTATTTGTTTATCTGCATGTCATGTGACCGTTAACCACCGTCAAAGAACCGTGAACATGCAAATGTGATACTTAATTTTTAAATATTTATTTTAAAATCGCAGGGGGTACTTCAAGTAAATATATTAGGTAAAAGAGGTTTAGCTGACAAAAAAAGGTTTGGAAATGCCTGCATTACATGTAAATAAGAAATAACATAAATTTGTGCATTTTAATGTGTTTGAAAGACAAAAGACTTCCAAAGACACAGTAATACATGGTTAAATAACCTTTAATTAATGTGTTCATCAGTAGTTGATGCAGTGTTGAAACACTTCTTAAACCTGAACTGAATTTTGTAAATCCAGTGGTCAAATGCTGTGTAGCCCCCTGACTGTATTGACTGATCTCTGTATGAATGTCCACAAAACGGGAAGACTTTCTGAGTGTACAGTATGTAAGCAGTAGGCTATTTTAGAAAGGAACATTTAAAAGATGAAAAAGAGGAATTAGGGAGAATCAATACATTTTGAACAATTTATTGCTATTGTGTGAAAATATGCAATCATGTTATCAATTAAAAAAATTAACAGTAATCTGATTATGAGTATTTTCAAATGTAAATTAATCCAATTACAAGTACTTCATTTTTGGAATCTGATTACATCATCCAGATTTCATGTAATCAGTTACTACCCAGTTCTGTATATATATATATATAAAGCTGCCACACTTACCTCAAACAGCACGGCCAACGCTGTGATCTTTCCTGCTGTGCTGAGGGCCTCATCGAGGCCACTGAAAGCATCTGCCTCATAACAGTATATCTGCATCTGCACCAGAAACAAACAGTATCTAATAATTTGTATACAGTCACACTTCCAGTAAAAAGTAAAAGATAATGTGCAGTCGGAAAATAACCCCCCACTTCGTGATCAAGAAAATGAGCAGCTGACTGTACATTATCCTGCTTATTAGGTAGTGAGTTAATAAATAAATCAAAATCAAAATAATAATAAAGAAATACAATTAAATATATTAAATAAAGAAATAAAATACTAAAAAATTAAATAAATAATAATATAATATAATAAATAAATAAAAACAGACAAATAAATATAAATAAATAAATTAGAATTGACATTATTTTATTATGTTGACATACCTCCAGGGGGAATTTTTCATTGTTGAGGCCGTGCTCCGACCCATCAGTGGAGGCATTGCACAGGCCCCAGTGGAAAGTGATGCGTCCCACCTTAAACTTGGACCTGAGTCCCCCTCCACTCACAAAAAAATCTCCTCCCACATCAATGGCCACTGGAGACAACACATTACAGAAATTAACGGTCAATATCTAATCACATCAAGTCTGAATTTTCAGGGGGTTTTTCACCTCTGAAACAATGCACATCTATCAAAGTGTTGATATTAAAAATACAATTGTTCTCACCCGTTTTCCCATCATTCTTTACTATAGTGGAGTCTGATGTATTTTCCGCCCACCCCTCTAATCTCAGCTTCTGGAATTGAATTTTGACCTGTGCCAGGCTCTCCTCAATGTTTATTGGTGATTGTTTGGCATTGTTGCATGATGGGTATTTCTTTGCCCAGTTATTTTGGTTTAGAGTTCCTGTGGGAAATGGAGTTTAATTGGATAAATAAATAAACCTCTTAAAATCATTCATAAATGTCAGAGGATGATCTCCTGTGCTCCAGTACAAACACATATACACACATACACTGCATTCACAGACACACAGGTGCATCATTTCATATGTAGTGGTTTTCTTGGGGGTTAATCCGAGTCCTCTCTCTGGAGGTCCCTACAGCACAAAAACAAATCCCATGAACCAGGTCACCAGCAGTTCTAGGTCACTTCCATTAGCATATCAATAGCTGCATTACACCCCCAGCTGAGTCATAAACACTGGTGTACAGTAGAATGCACTACAGTTGAGTCAAATACAGTAGAACATAAACAATACATGAATGAAGAAATAAAAGCTAATGTTAGGCACAAACAAAGTGAAGTTTCCAAAACCCTGTTGGGATGGTGTGGTAAAATCACCCTAATGCACAGTCTTAAGTGGCTTATTGGTTGTTTTAAGCATTTAAAACCATATTATTATTTTTATTATTACAAATTAATTTTAAAAATGTCTATAAATATATACTATTTAATTTAATAGCCTAAATGTAAATTGGTTACAACTGATTTACATTTAAACTGTTGTGTAGGAAATAAATAAATAAATAATATTCTCTAAGAAAGTATAAAAATAAATATAAAAATCAAAAAATTTCCATCAAGTAACAATAGCCTAAATGTAGACTGTTTATGGTTGATTTACTATTCAAATTATTTGCAAGAAGGAAGGGGAAAAAATCAATTAATCAATTGTTCTGGCAAATAACATATTTTTTGTAGCCTAAATTTCCAGAATCATGAAAATCTTTAGTATCAAACCTCTCGTGAACATTACCCTTTAACCACATACCAGCGCATAAAAAAATGTAATATCTGTTTGTGACTATCATAATATTCTATGAAATAATAATAGACTTTATGAAGGTAAAACAGTAGCAAAATGAGAATGTGAGAACTTGTTTAATATAATGAGTTTTGCTATATGAGCAAATATAGCTATTAAATATTGCTATTTAATATATGACTCTTGCTACAGGAATATCGCGAAAGGAGTAGCAAAAGTCAAAGCGCTAGGATTTGAAGTTGTACTGCCAGATCTGAGAGATCAGAGTGCTGACTTGTGGTTGTACAGTGAAACTGAAGTACAGTGCAAAAGTAAATATGTCTGTCTGTGATTTTGTTGCTGTGAATGTAATTTTACACATTTGTAACTATTAATCTGCAACTTCAAATTCAAAATATGGTGAATACGGGTGACGTCACGGACACTACGTCCATGTTTTTATACAGTCTATGGTTGTGACATGTCCCTCCATGGCTTCAGTGAACAGGGAAAACTGGACGCCTGACAAGCTGCAGCAAGTGCAAATCAGGGGAAAATGCCAGTAAAATGTCTTCACTTCTTCCTTACTTAGCACTGTCACTTCTCTCCTTCCTCAGCGAAGGACTATAGAGAGAACAGACTACAAACACTCAAAGCTGTCATGTTTCATTTGAATATGTCTGTATTTGTGTCCTTCTATTCTTTTTTAGAGGATTTTGTGTCATCTGAAGGAATGAAAGGATATGGAGAAAAAGAACAGAAGCTGATTTAAAACCAAATTTCTCTGTAAAACAACGTACAAAAATCTAAACTTGGCATAAATAAACATTTCTCTTTTACAGACACAGCAAAGGCCAAGTAACAAATACCATGTATGTTCTGTAGAGAACAGCTCATATTGAACTCAACCAAATACACACCACAACCACCTAATAAATGTGGGCCATTCTCAGGAAATGGTGCCATTTAGAATATCAGTCAGTTTGCATTGTTACCATTACATCCCCACCAGAATCAAACGAAAAACTGTTATATACATTCAAATATGTTATGCTGTGATATTTCCTCTCTTTCGAAGATAATGGTTTGATGTCTGGCATGAGTAACATAATAAATATATAGTGCCTATAGAACAGTGCATGTTGTGCTAATATTTAAACTGTAATTATTTTATAGAGTTAAATGTACTAAAAATTTACTTTGTTGTCAATTCAAATTATAATTAAATAAATTCCAAACCTACTGTGACAGGGTTCAAATAATATTGCACTTTAGGGTTATTAACAATAACTACTGGCACTCTGCAAATCTGGTGGTCAGATGGTGGTCCCACAATGTCTAAAGCCTGATAATTTGGGCCTGAGGTTCAGAAGCAAAATATTCAAATAAAATGATTAAAAACATTTTCTAGCACAGCTGGCACTGTTTCTTGAGAATGACCATTAACTACATGAGGAGAGAAACCATATCATGCAAAATGACCTGATTCGGCCACTAAAGTACATTTCAGTTATCCACACTTACATAGAAATATGCCTTTATCTTTATGATGTCAGAATTTGCTTACAGGGATTGATTATTCGTGTTTCAGTATTATTTAGACAACATGAGTGATATAAAAAAGGGGTCAAAGAGGAGGAGGGGCCACAGTATTCTGGGTAAAGCTGATGAACGATGTCCCATCTGCATGACTGACCTCCTGCCTGCAGTCCGGACACTATAATGCCCCCTTTCTTGTGCCAACCTCCAATGACACCCAGATCTGGTTTGTTGTGATGGGTCAAAGACAAGAGGTTTGAGGAGATGGAGAATGTCTTTCCTAGACTAAACACCTTTGAAACTCTGAGCCCCAGGCTGAAGATTCAGATCATTTTTTGAATCATTTTCCAAAGGAACAATCTGTAAATCGTAGAGATCAGAAGCTAAATATCAAAAGTACATAATAATAAGGAGAATATAAAATCTGCCCTACTTTCAATAACAAAGTGAGACAGGGGAATTCTTCATTGTGCTAGAAATGGAAAAGAGCTGGAGATAAAAAGATGAGGGATACAAAATGTGTCACTAATGTTGTTTGATTTGATACTTCAACTCTTCTCAAACTTCAAGGGGCCATATGATAAAAAAAACAAGATTTTTCCTGCTCCCCAGCTAATAAAATTATGCCCAAAGAAGGTTTTGCCAACATTCCCATTAAGTTATTAAACGTTATTTCTGAATGCTCTGTGAACGTTCAAAACGTTTTTAATATAGAAAATGTTAATGGAACATTTTATCACTTTGCAAACATTATGGGAATGTTACTTTAAATGTTCTCTGAACCATCTAAATCTAGTAAGTAGTAAAACATTTTTTAAAAGTCAGTTGGGAGTCCAACTAAATATTTAAAGGGGTGGTTGATTGCAATTTCCATTTTTTAACGTTAGTTAGTGTGTAATGTTGCTGTTTGAGCATAAACAATATCTGCAAAGTTACAAAGCTGAAAGTTCAATGCAAACGGAGATATCATCTTTTAAAATTCTGGCAGTGTAAAGCATTCAAAAACGGCTGGTAGGGACTACAACAAGTTACTTCCCGGGTTCATGACGTAACAAACCCAGATAAACCCCGCCCCTGGAAACATGCAACAAAGGGGGCAAGGCCATGCTGCGCTGCTTTAGAGAAGAGGAAGAGAAAACTAGAGGTGCACGTAAAAATCTATTCATATATGAATCGCGATTCTGTCTTCTAACGATTCTAATGGATTCACAGAGGTTCTTAATACTGTTCCTCGCGTCCCCTGCTCTGCACACGCTCTGCATCTCTCTCTCTCTCAGCTCAGCTCCAACAATGAACTGTTCCAATTATACACTTATTTTAACACAGCTATGAGAAGCGTTAAACATGGACGCGAGTGCAGTTGCCGTACTGTATTAAAACTTTAATCAGGATAAAACCGTATATTAAAAGCTAACATAAGCAATAGCATTTACAAATAACAGCATATCTAAAAGTATGAGACAACAAAAAACTAGGCCTACCATTAAAAGCCATGCTTGTACAGGTTCTGCATGATCCTCTTCAATAATATCATAATATCCTCTGCTTCTCAGTCGGGCTCAAACTGATAAGCGATATTAACGACGCCTTTGTTTACAATACAACCAGAGCACATGGCGCTGAGGTGAGGGGTGAGACATTTAATTTAATCAGTCTATAGCAGGGCGGGACAGAGCGGTGTGGAATAAAGGTAAATTATGTGAAAAATAATGTGTTTTTTTAAAAACGAAGCATTAACACATTAGACTGCACCCTATAGACACAATCAAGCCTAGAAAAAAAACAGTGAACCACCCCTTTAAGAAAACCGTTCCATGATTGAATTTTTGTGCTAATGTTTTGGGAATGTTATTAAAAACCAACATTTTATTACCGTTACTGGAAGAATGTTTGTTCATAACTTTGAGAGAACCTTACCGGAACGTTAGCCAAAGTTCTGAGAGCATTCTCTATTAGCTGGATTTTTGATGTGCTGTAAAGATATAGGCTACTCTAATGCAAAACTCCTTCCTCAGTGCATGAAAACTAAAATGCTACATGCTAATCGTTTACAAACGGTCATTGTATTGACACAATCACAACGAGTCATTTGCATAAAGTCTTAAAGGTGTGTCATCAAGAACAGCCTAAACAGGATCAGAGAAAGTCCTGGAAATTATGTAAAACTAAATTACTACAACAAAAATTGTACAATATGCCCCCTAAAGCGTCTAAAAAATTTTTTAAAAATCGTCTTCAAAGATTATACTTTCAAACCCTATAAAGACACATAAGCTGTCATATTACTATTCCAATTAATTAGCTTTCCATGGAAATACTGGGATTAGTCAGCTTCAGCAGAGATGAACAACACAACGGAGCCACAACTTGGAGTCATACTGCATGAAAGCTTCTAAACACACCCTTTAAACTTTGACATACACTGTCTGGGCGAGATCAGACAAGACCTGTAATTTAGGCCACATTAACCTTGAAAGCTCAGTTAGATACGGATGAATTTAATCTGTGGCATTAAGCCCTGCATGCTTAGTCAAAGATAGAAAACCTAAACCTGAGTTGGCATCGGGAAAGGATGCCACCAGTGCTTCAGTTCAAAATGTGCATCTTTAGAAATTCTGACAGGCCCTTTACACAGACTGAAGTCTAATCACTATGATCACTATGCAGCGATAATAAACACAATGTAAGTACAGTTAGAATTCAACACTCACCCGCATAAGACCACTCTATGTTCTCTGAGAGTTTTTTCTGTGATCTGAAACCATATGCTTCTGATACATCCGCTGAAAAGAAAAACAAATATCAGTTTATTCCATCAAAGCGAATAAATATGTTTACTAAAAATTGTCAAATGGGCTACTTTGCATTTTTCTAATTACAAATTATATTATCAGTAAAACAATTTGAATTTTTTAAAATATTTTGTATAACACTTTTCATAACACACATTGTTTCAAAGCAGCTTATAATGCGTTTAGCAGAATGGAGTGGGGTGATTATAGAGCTGGATGATAATATAATTTACATTTTGCAATGAAATCAAAAAATCAAGAAGCTGAGAATTTAATTTGTTATGCCTACTTTTGCTTTTGTCTCAAATAATTAAATACTTATTATAAATGACACATATATTAAATATAAATATAAATATAAATATAATCATTTATTTTTATAAAATAGTTAAGTTAGTGGCCTGGTGCTGAATCTTAAATATTTCTTATTCGTCTTTCATCATAAAATTTTTGATGAATTATTATTATTATTATTAATATTATTATACTAGATTTTGTATCTCAGGAATGCCACTGTATATTCATTGCAATAGTAATATACTTTTTGATTTTAAGCCAAGATAAAACTGACAAATTTAAAACTCTTTAACCTTCCTAAAACCTTATGCATCTTTGGATTTAAAATGTGGCTTTTTTTTTCTTTCAAAAATTGGCTTGCAATATTGTTTAAAACCTCCTAAAATCAGCTATAAAACAGGATGGTTGTTTCAAAAAGAGAGCTCAATCTTTAAAATTCCTCTTGCAGCAGCTAAATCATGCCATGACCTGCTGTGACCTGCTGTCAAAAAGTCCTGTGAATGACGTCTTTGGATTTGATCCAGTGTTAATGGTTTGACACTGCAGTTAGGTTGTAATCCGCCACAGAATTCTGTTAGGACAGTGACAGTGCCAAAATCAAATGGCATAATTATTTTATTACAGTAATTATGCATCAGATGGTAAGAACAATATGGAAATAATAGAGAATATGAGTTCAGGAGGAGTTAAGCGGAAAGGAAAGCTCTATTATTCTCTTCAGTCTTTTGCCTGGTGGTTTCATTCACTTTATTTAAAAAAAAAAAAGGTATCTTTTATTGTCAGAAGGTCGTCACCCAGGACTTTAAGGTCATGCGGTAAAAGTTCATCCGTAAAGTTCTTCCTCATAATCACCCCACTATTTCAAAACGTTGGTCTCCTGCTGATCAGCAAACTTTGGTCATTTTTTTGCCTTTATAAACAAAGTCCTCCAATCACATTCTATATAGGAAACAATACATCAAATCAATCCTTGTCAAAATACTGTAATATTTGTGCAAAATATGTCCATTTGTGTTCCTTAAAAGTCATATAGGTTTGGAACATGAATTTACTTTTGAATGAACTTTGTATTCCCTTAATCCTCCAAAACTGACTAAATTAAAGTAATAAACAGAGAAGCAGATGCAGTGGGAGAGGCATATAAACTCTAAAAGCCTTCTGCCGATGCTCTAATTAGTACATAATTAGCCTGCATGCCTATTGCATGTGGGTCGGACCTCTGATCCATAACTGTCTATAACTCGATCTGTGCCATTTCAGTCTCATCACTGCAGATTTACAAACAAAAATAGAACAAAACTGACAGATCATTGGAAAGCAGTGAATTAAAACAGACAGAGAATTAGTCTTTTTCTGATAGAGCTGGTTTACTCTAAAATGTGCATCCAATTACCTTGATCAGCCTGAAAAAAGTCTAATATTTCTGAGTGATTTGAGCTAAACAAGCAATATCGATGACCATTGTATAGGGTCCTATATGGTCCTTTGAGTTTTCAGTTTATATAAACTCCATACAAAAGGCATCATTCTAAATATGAAATGGTGTAGACTTTATATTATTATATCATATTTTTAGTGATTTAAATTTGTAAAGTGTGCAGAAAAAAAACATTGTTTCCTTGAGGTGTACTGCTTCTATGTCATTTGCAAAAACAAATTTCCATAATTTATTGATTTTAGACTGATCATTATATTAAAACCATCTTAGAAAATCATTTTTATGAGAATTTGTCCCTGGTGTCAAAACAAAACAAAACAAAAAATTTAATAAAATTTGTTTACATTAAATTATTTTATTTTATTTTTGAATGTATTATTTTTCATGGTTATTCTAATTTTTTAGTCTTTTTCTGATAGAGCTGGTTTACTCTAAAATGTGCATCCAATTACCTTGATCAGCCTGAAAAAAGTCTAATATTTCTGAGTGATTTGAGCTAAACAAGCAATATCGATGACCATTGTATAGGGTCCTATATGGTCCTTTGAGTTTTCAGTTTATATAAACTCCATACAAAAGGCATCATTCTAAATATGAAATGGTGTAGACTTTATATTATTATATCATATTTTTAGTGATTTAAATTTGTAAAGTGTGCAGAAAAAAAACATTGTTTCCTTGAGGTGTACTGCTTCTATGTCATTTGCAAAAAAAAAAAAATTCCATAATTTATTGATTTTAGACTGATCATTATATTAAAACCATCTTAGAAAATCATTTTTATGAGAATTTGTCCCTGGTGTCAAAACAAAACAAAACAAAAAATTTAATAAAATTAGTTTACATTAAATTAAATTATTTTATTTTATTTTTGAATGTATTATTTTTCATGGTTATTCTAATTTTTTATTAAATTAAATTAAATTAGCTATGTTTAATGATTAGTAATAATGTCAAGATGTTAATAAATACTTCCCATCGGTTTTTATGGGAGAAAAAAAAAATTCTTGAGAATGACCCTTTGGATCAGATTTGAACAATGTCAACAACCATTTCAGAGGTTTCAACATCCAAGTAAATAGCTGAATTTCCAAGCACAGAAAACAGCTGTCCTGGGGTAGTGACCACGATGGCCACCAAGAGAACTGACTAACCTTTAAGACAGTGATATTTTGTAACTGCTCACTGTTTAGTTCTAGGACTGATAAGAAAATCTATTAAGCTGTCAACAAGTTAACCACACAATCCCTCCATTCCTTTTAAGCCAACATTGTTTTTGGTTCCAACAGTCTACTGCCAAACTCAACCATGTTAATGCTTTTAAAGGATGAAAGAAACCTCCCTAAAGAGGGCCCTGTCCCTTGGGAGAAAGGCCACAATACAAGCAACAATGGCTTTGACATGAAACACCTTTACACCTTTAGCTAGGATACCCTACACTGAATGGGTTTGCTGAGGGAAACTGCCTGCCTATTCACTAGCAACAGAAGTAAAGTCTTGGCTCATCTTTCTGTTAGCTTTTGTCTGTCTGTCTACACATTGGTTTTGGTCCTTTCAAGACGGTCTGTGCACCTGTTAGGCCATACAAACAACTGCTCACTGTTTAGTTCTAGGACTGATAAGAAAATCTATTAAGCTGTCAACAAGTTAACCACACAATCCCTCCATTCCTTTTAAGCCAACATTGTTTTTGGTTCCAACAGTCTACTGCCAAACTCAACCATGTTAATGCTTTTAAAGGATGAAAGAAACCTCCCTAAAGAGGGCCCTGTCCCTTGGGAGAAAGGCCACAATACAAGCAACAATGGCTTTGACATGAAACACCTTTAAACCTTTAGCTAGGATACCCTACACTGAATGGGTTTGCTGAGGGAAACTGCCTGCCTATTCACTAGCAACAGAAGTAAAGTCTTGGCTCATCTTTCTGTTAGCTTTTGTCTGTCTGTCTACACATTGGTTTTGGTCCTTTCAAGACGGTCTGTGCACCTGTTAGGCCATACAAACGTCTACACGCTTTTACAGTGTATCAGAGTGTCACGTCTAGTCATACATGCTAATTATAGCTCACCCAGGGCAGCTTTTCTGAGCTAATTTAGCACGCTCAGGGAGTATTGACAGCAATGAAGTGTATTTTGTTTCTTTAGATTACCCTAACAAAAATGACCATGGTAACCACAATTTTTGCCAAAATACAGTTGATAGAGTTACTGACATTGTTGTGTTTGCATTTCTTCCATTGTGAAAAAGAAATACTTTAGCATACTTTTAAAAAGAACACTTATCACTGAAATAATTTACTCAATGTGAACTAATGTCAAATATTTTCGAGCACTTAATTGCATGTTATTTGGGATTACCTGAAAAAGTATTATTTAAAAAAAATGGTGAATGTACCTTCAGTTAGCAGTCTTGTTAGCATAGTGCGAACTAGTTTAGAAAAGGACTGAATGGAATAGCTACTAGCACACTGCTCTTACTATTTCTGCCAGTTCAACCCTTATGAAAATTAACCATGGTTTTATTATAGTAAAAGTAAACCATGTTTTTTTTTGTATATTCATTACCATTTGTACAACCACAGTTTTACTACAAATACCATGGTTAAATTATGGTTAGTGTAGCAAAACCATGGTTAATTTGTGGTAACCATGGTCTAACTATAGTAATCATGGTTTTGGGGTTTTATTTGATTAATTTACATGAGGGAATACTTTACTTAACCATTAGTTCAAGCTGGTTTGCTGGTCTTAGCTGGTTCAAGCTGGTTAGCTGGTTTTAGCTGGTCTCCCAGCCTGGCTAGGCTGGTCAAGCTGGTTTTAGCTGGTTGTTCCAGCTGGTCTCCCAGCCTGACCAGCTAAAGAAGTGGTCAAAACCCCTCTAAAACCAGCCTGCTGACCAGCTATGACCAGACTGGATGACCAGCTAAAACCAGCTTAGGCTGGTTTTAGATTTTTTTTTTTTTTTTAGCAGGGTACTAAAACCATCTGACAGAAATTATGGCATAAATGGTAGCATGATAGTTTGCTTTTCAAAATTCACCCAAGCTCTTCTGTTTCAAATGGAGAGCAAAGAAAAACTTTTGACTGAAGTAATTTCTGTGCTATTAGTGCCAAAATACTTTTTAAAAATACTTTATTTTTGGGTGAACTGTCCCTTTAAGTAAAAGGTTATAGACATTAGCATTACATTTATTTACAGGGATTCAATAGTGTAATTTAAACGGGAAAATGTTAAATGATCTAGTTAAAAGGAGCAA